GCGTGTGTCTACCGTGTACTGTGTGTGTCTACCGTGTACTGCGTGTGTCTACTGTGTACTGTGTGTGTCTACCGTGTAATGCGTGTGTCTACCGTGTACTGCGTGTGTCTACCGTGTACTGCGTGTGTCTACCGTGTACTGTGTCTACCGTGTACTGTGTGTGTCTACCGTGTACTGTGTCTACCGTGTACTGTGTCTACCGTGTACTGTGCCTACCGTGTACTGTGTGTGTCTACCGTGTACTGTGTCTACCGTGTACTGTGTGTGTCTACCGTGTACTGTGTGTACCGTGTACTGTGTGTCTACCGTGTACTGTGTCTACCGTGTACTGTGTCTACCGTGTACTGTGTGTGTCTACCGTGTACTGTGTCTACCGTGCACTGTGTGTGTCTACCGTGTACTGTGTGTGTCTACCGTGTACTGTGTCTACCGTGTACTGTGCCTACCGTGTACTGTGTCTACCGTGTACTGTGTGTGTCTACCGTGTACTGTGTCTACCGTGTACTGTGTGTCTACCGTGTACTGTGTGTGTCTACCGTGTACTGTGTCTACTCTGTGCGCGCTACTCGGTAGGCTGCTGTCTCGTGCCTTTAGTTTCTTCAGTGCGCCATTTATTTTGGATGGCATCTACCGCACGAAGCGAGGGAAGCCTGCAAATTCCTTACAGCCATTGGTCAATGGGCTGAGATCATGAACTCACCACCCTTGAGAACACCAGTTTAAACAAAGGCAGCAGACTGATTATCAACCCCAGGGTCCCAGTGGTGCCAACTCAGCACTGTAACATGTGAGCCACTTTAGCAGCAGCAGCAGCAGCCTTAAATATGATGAAGTTTGAATGCCATGTATTCCAGGGGAAGTTAAGAACACTACTTTTGAATGACAACGCTATATTTATAATGTATATACAATTATTCTGAGGAGATTTAAGGAATGAGGTAGGTAGTGTCGCAGCGGTTAGCGCACTTCGCAGCGAACCTGAGCACCCCGAGTTCGATTCCTGGCCATGGCTTACGACAGTGGCGAGTGATATCCGAACTGGGCGCGGGCTCGCCTTTCACGAGCAGGCACCGAAAAGTGTGGTGAGGTATGGTCAAACAACTCCAGTGATTGGTACAATGTGGGGAAGCCCTTCATCCAGCAGTGGATTTACAAATGGCTCTAAAACATAATCATGACCATGAACATCCAAGCACACTTCATTAACATTTGTAAAACAACGACCAAGTTTGTATAAAAGGACTTTTATAACATGAGTCGTTAAAAATATTAGCTGTGCTAACGGTTAAGTGTTATACAATATACTACATGCCCGTCTGAAGTTTGCCAATGAACATCTGAATGATTCAGAGGATAACTGGTTGAAAGTGTTGTGGTCAGATGAGACCAAAATGGAGCTCTTTGGCATCAACTCAACTCGCCGTGTTTGGAGGAGGAGGAATGCTGCCTATGACCCCAAGAACACCATCCCCACCGTCAAACATGGAGGTGGAAACATTATGCTTTGGGGGTGTTTTTCTGCTAAGGGGACAGGACAACTTCACCGCATCAAAGGGACGATGGACGGGGCCATGTACCGTCAAATCTTGGGTGAGAACCTCCTTCCCTCAGCCAGGGCATTGAAAATGGGTCGTGGATGGGTATTCCACCATGACAATGACTCAAAACACATGGCCAAGGCAACAAAGGAGTGGCTCAAGAAGAAGCACATTAAGGTCCTGGAGTGACCTAGCCAGTCTCCAGACCTTAATCCCATAGAAAATCTATAGAGGGAGCTGAAGGTTCGAGTTGCCAAACGTTAGCCTCGAAACCTTAATGACTTGGAGAAGATCTGCAAAGAGGAGTGGGACAAAATCCCTCCTGAGATGTGTGCAAACCTGGTGGCCAACTACAAGAAACGTCTGACCTCTGTGATTGCCAACAAGGGTTTTGCCACCAAGTACTAAGTCATGTTTTGCAGAGGGGTCAAATACTTATTTCCCTCATTAAAATGCAAATCAATTTGTAACATTTTTGACATGCGTTTATCTGGATTTTGTTATTGTTATTCTGCATCCCACTGTTCAAATAAACCTACCATTAAAATTATAGACTGATAATTTCTTTGTCAGTGGGCAAACGTACAAAATCAGCAGGGGATCAAATACTTTTTTCCCTCACTGCATGTAAAGTACAAACGTTTCAACGGTGACATTTTGCAAGCCGCTATCCTAGCACAGTCCCCATTCTGGTGTGACAGCCCACTCGCGGATTATAAAGAGCTTTAACATGTATAGTTGAGCAGCTTGAAGAATTTCTTCCCACCAAAAATGCACCAATTTCAGAGCACACCACCTGGTCTGCACTGATAACTAAAGCCCTAAGTAAATGGTGCGTGGCTCTGACTGTCTCCTTGGCGCATCCTCTACCTTGCAAATGCTATTCATGGGCTTCTGGAACCACGAACAAAGTTTTATATAAAGGATATCTGAGCCTCACCATCTTTTAAATGTCATTCATGGCTTCAATTATTTCCCAAAAAAATTGCCAAGTTGTTTTTCTTCCGATTTAAGGCAAACATGATAGTACAGCGTGCGCTGAAGCTCCTCTTACTGAAAGCTGATTTTGTGGTCACAAGTGGAGGAGCCTATTACCGTATCCACATTCATCCATGCAAATAATGTATTTTATCCGCACAGTAAAAGCACAGATAAATGTGAATAGGTTGCATATTCCACCACTTATGGGTGACTTCCTATCCTCATTGTGGCACAGATAACAGGAAGAATTTAGTGCATTCAAGTGATTGGCACACATCAATCCAGGGCCGCGAGAAGTAGCGCATACTAGGGTTGTGGATGGCGTTTCTCTGTAATTATAGTAACACATTTTATTTTCATGGATTAATGATTTTTTTTTTAAATCGAGTGGGTGCTCATTGTAAAAAATATTTTAATGATAATTTCTGCAAGGTCGGAAGAAGCGTGATAATAATATTAATTACAGATTCGTGGCTATGGCTCATTATTTTCCCCCGCACAATTGGCGTGCAGCAAAGTGAGGCAGGCACGATTGTAATGTGCAGTCCCAAATCTGAGAGAAGCGGTGGTTCAGTGGTTGAGTGCACTGCGCTCTGAAATCGGCCACCTGAGTTCGATTACCGGCCACGGCTAACATCAGTGGGGCAAGTGATATCTGCGATATCCTGAACCAGGTCCACACCTCCCCCTCACCAACCTACATTGACCAGCACGGTAAAGTATGGTCAAACAACCCCCACTATAAACAGTGTGGTAAGACCTTCGTCTAGCAGGACATTGACAAAGGACAGCGAGTTCAGAGTTCAGTGTCCCAAAGCAAAAGGTTTTCATTGCTATATTGCTTTGATCACAGTGGTAGATGGTTAGGGGCACACACATTGATGAATGTTAACACGAATTGTGAGTTTGAGCCCCTCGTGAAATAAAAAAAAACACATTTCGGATGGACATGCACTGGTACAATAGTTCAGGATGTGTAATGCAGAAGGGTTGTTTCGCAAACGTTGGTGGCATTGTGAAGGCCTCACATCATTATGTATGACCCTTGACCCCAACGCACTCTGCCTCACGCCTCACAACAACCACTTCCCCTCCCACATGAAAGAGCTTTCTTCCACAACCCTCTTGACAAATGAAACTTAATCTTATTACTGGTGGATAGTCAAGGCGGCCTTCCATCTTCTGCTTTAACAAAGACCACTGAAGCAGATGCTTATCTTGCCTCTTATACGTCACAGAAAAACAATAATCCATGACCTTACGTTACGTGATTGTAGAGAGATGTGTGAATTCATCTCGTAAAGCTTCAGAGAGACAAAAAGCCACCACCTTAAATTAGAGCATGTGATCATAGTGAACATGTGAATACATCTCGTGAGCGGAGAGAAACTGGCTGATGTGGGAATGCGTGATGTAACAAAAAATATATATTATTTTGGGTTTCCACCGAGCACTTGAAAGCAGTCCTGTACATAAAGTAAACCGACAACTAGCCCAGCACAAAGGGAAAAGGGCTGCCCTTTTCAATTTGTGACACGTCATTAAAGAGCCTTTAAACCCAGAGGGCCAGGGAGATGGGGAAAGTATGAAAAGAAATCCCTCACTGTGCCACCCACCAATTGTGCCGAGTCAAGGATTTATGGCAGAAGCGTAAACAAAACGAAGATTTGCTTTACATTTCAACAAAGCATTGGATTAAATGCATTCTTGTAAGTACTTTAATGCCCACAAATTTACCACCTTTGTAATTCAAGCCTCACTGGTTGCCATTACGTGGTGTGCCTACTGCCGCTGTGTAAGGAAGCCCTGCCAGTCTCAGTTGGGGGGTTGTGAGAGAACAAAAATGTGCGTGTTTCTTTTATCCTCTCAACTTGCTCTCCTCTCACGCCTCTTTTTTTTTCTCTCTGTGGAGTTCAGCTCAGAACCAACTTGCAGTGCTGACCACTGCAACAGGTCTCCCCTATTAATGTGCGCACAGTTAAATCGCATGAATGCGCCATACAATAAACACATTTATGCCAGGTTACCACAACACTGCCATTAATGTTAATAACAATAAATTATCTCGCAAGCTTCAGAAAGACAAAAAGCCACCACCTTAAATCACACGATAATAAATTACAGACATTCTCAATCGGCCAATGGCAAGGCGTCCCCATGCTGTGTCACTTAAGGAAGTTTTTTTTATTTTACCATACTCATCCACGGTGATCAGTGCGAGTTGACGAAGGTGGCACAGGGTAGGGCCACCATGTTTGTATGCCACATGCAAAAGTAAAAAAAAAATACACAACACGCCCCTCACCAACCCATTCAAGCCTCAACTGCGCACACCCCCCCCCACCCACAACGCCACTTCAACGACTCATCTTTACCACACGAACTTTCCAGAAGCAGGCACAAAAACAAAACAAACCGACACAACACAAGGGCAGGTTAACAATACCGCACGGACGGGGCACGACACCCCACTGTGCTCACCTGTGAAAACGGCGACGGTCGGCGACGAAGGCGTCCTGCCGTGGCCCGCTTCGGGAGAGCCGAGGAGACTCATGGAACCGGCCCTCCTTAGGCGTGGCTCTCCGCACGGCAGCCTCATCACCTCTTCCGTCCAGTCAGCCGAGCGGCTCATCGCCGCGGCATCCCAGGCCGAGACCAGCGGCTTGGTGGCCGCCGTCATCGCGTCCCTCCATCGGTGCCGATTCTCCCCGGGCCGCCCCTGGTCGCCCGTGGTCTCGGGCCCGGCCAGGCGCCGCTGCAGTAGCGGGCTGGGCGCCGGCGAGGGCAGCGGCGAGGAGAGAGGCGAGCTGAGCTGGCGCGTGGTGGTGATGGCGTACGTGGTGTTGATGTGATGGTGGTGCTGGTGGTGGTGAGGAGATACGCGCAGAGTCGAGGTGGCGAGCGGCGTGCCGGGGTGCGGATGCGAGTTTTTGTCAGCGAGTAGCGTGGTCGCGCTGGTGCCGGCCTTAGACTCTCGGCGTGCCCAGGCCTGCTTCGTGTTGCTGCAGTCTCCTTCAAACGCAGCAGCGTCCAAGCTGGATTTTCTGTGATCCTCAAAAGCTCCCACCACATCCGTAGCACCAGCGTTAGCCAGCAAGGATGCAGGTAAGTTCATATGGCCAACTTCTTGCTCTCCATCGAATTTAAACTTATTCCCTTCCACAATTCCACCATTCACAGCTTTAACAGATGGTAGATCACCGACCAAAGGTTGTACATCAGCCACCTCTTTACTTCTAACATTGTTTCCCATTGCTTTTCCATCGGTTGACTGCAGTTCTGTAACTTCCAGCTGTGTAATGTGGTCTTGAGCTCCTTCACTCAACGGTTTTACTGTTTTCTCAAGTTTTCCAGTATCCAAGGTGCCAGACGGCGGATGTGAAAAAGTCGTTCCACCTGCCGCCACATTGGAAGGACTTCTGCCAACAAGATTGTCATCGGATGCCTTGTTGTTGTCATGGCACACGTCATGGTCCGTCGAGCCTTCCAGCGATACATTGTTTGCATCACTGCGCTTTGAAGCTGCTTTGAGTTCACCTGGAATTAACTGCATTTTCATAGCGAGCTGTATATCAGCCAGCAGGTCATCCCCACCCATGAGGCCTTTGTCCAGTCCTTGGTCAAAGTCAGGTGCAGAGTGAAAGCTGTAAGCGTCTGTGTCAGATCCAGAGCTCAGCACGGTGCATTCTCTCTGTAGCGCTGCGACAGCCTTTGGCTCCGTCTTCTCCTTGTCCACCCTGGTGCCGGGAACGATATTACCGACCTGTGCACCGGCGTGCACCGCCTGCCTCCCGCCGCAGACGTCGCCGACGCTGGCCGTGAAATCGCCGCTGTCCTCGGTGTGCGTGGACGATTTCTCGTGCTCAGCTTCCAGGTCGGCCGCAGCAACAGCTTCAGTGCGGCCGTGGGCAGCGGCGGCAAAGACGGCAGCCGCCGATTTACGTTTGCGAATCCCGGAAAAAACGGAGGAGCCCGAGGAGGAGTCTCCCTTCGCTTTCTTCTTCTGCTCGCCCTTGCTGCGGCCGAGCTTACCCTTTTTGCCAGAGTCTTTGTAAGCGGACGCGGGCTTCCCAGAGGCCTCGCCCCTCGCAGCATCCTCGGCTAGTCCCCTCTCGCCGGCACCCTCGGCAACGCTCCCCTTCCTCAGCTTGCCATCCTGATTGCCCATTTCCCTACGCTCACCGCCGCTGCCGCGGCACGCTCGCAGCCGGAGGGCCGCAGCGCCGACGACAATGTTCCCGCCTATCGAGTCGCCATCCCAGGCTGCCGATATCGCGCGCAATTGGCTCACGCTTTCCGGCAACAATAAAGGGGTGGCTCGGAGCCCAACGCCCGGCAGCGGTTCGTCTGAACGCAGGCAGCTCACGCGTAACGAGGCATCGCTCCCTCGGGCATGCTCAGACCCACCGGACCTGGCGCCCCAATCAGAGATCGCGTTTTTGTTCCCGATGCGAGCGCTGTGCTCCGGCGCCAGTGCGGACTGATACGACCGCGTCAGGCACACGTCCCGAAAGCGCGCGTGCAGCGACAGCACCGTGTGATATTTTGCCATGCCACTCCTCTACCTTGGTAATGCTGCAATTTTTTTCGTAATTTACATATGAACATTACACTTCGAGTGCGTGTCCACGTGAAATGTGGCCATTCATTCATCCATAGTCATATTCCTTTGTCCCCCACCCCACGCATCGGCTTAGGAGCAGCTGGTTATAAAAAAAACACAAGGCAGCTGCCACAGCGGAGCTTGTGGGAGGGCGGCCGGAGCAGAATGCTAATTGCAGAGGCCGGCACTGCGGCGGTGTTGTCTAGAACGACGGCGGTGAGAGCTCTCCAAAGGCAACGGACCACCATCTGTGGAGAATGCACAGGGCCAGCATGGATTAAAAAACAAAAACCCTCCACGCCACCTATGCCCCAAGGAAGGAACACAACTGTGCAGGCGACCGCCCGCGCTGTTTGCGTTGGTTTAACCCCACGCTTGAGTCGAGTTTTTATTTTATTTTTCTTCCGACAGAAGAGGGCGCGAATGTATGGCAGCGAACACTGACGCCTGACCATACAAGCGCTCCATTGCCCCCTCCCCGTGACTCCCCCCTCCACCCCAACTCAAACACTCACTCCCCCCCACCCACCCATATTGCCCCGCAGGGCCATCTGCCACACGGAGCATTTTCATCAACCCTCTAATTGATTTACATTACATTGTGTGCATTGCAGCGTATTGCACTACACGTACGCTATACATACGAGAAGTGAGCACGCACGGCACACGCACTACGCTCGCGATGTGCGCACAGATCGCCAGGAAATGCGCCCGATCTCGACAGATCCCAAAAAGCTGGGAAGAACCGAGCCCGGACGCTGCTCAGAAGGGTTGACCACCATGTGCAAAAAATAAGTGTAACAGGCGTTGTGGGTGGTGGAGGGAAGTGCAGCAACATCAATAGTTCAGAGCTCCCGCCACCATCACCAACGTTCGCTGACCGGAAGGATGAAGTATCGTCAAATAGCCATCATGGCTAACAAAGCATGGGCAGGCCCTTGTTTAGCAGCGTATGAACAAAAACTGGCTGTACGAGGGCATATGTATGTTGAACTTCTTTCGCACCATACGTAGACAACCGTGATAGACAAATTTACATTTTTATTGTAGCAGAAACTATTCAATTGTTAATACAAGGTTAACATTTTTTTAAATATCATTATTAAAACTTTGCTAAGCATTGAGGACGCCACCACAAAGCTAATGTAGGACTTGGCGTTAAAGTTCAAGATCTTTAAACCATGATGTGACATTTTCTAACTTTAAAATACCATACACAAAATTCCTGTAGTATTTCACATGTACGTCTACTGCAAAACACTCAATACATTAGAATGTATTTTGGAATAATCACAGTAATAATTCACTAGTCATATGTCAATTTAATAACTGGCTGTTAGAAAACACATCAAGTATTTTCTCATGACGCTCCATGGTGTAAAATGCAGTCTCCACCTGACTCAATATCTCTCTGGCCTCTCTGTTTATGAGCTCTGAAGAGCCATTGCTCCAAATGTCACCAATTATAATTTTTTTGTTGACTAATGTGTTGAGTAGTACTTTAATATCTCTTTGGCAATACTGCTGGATGTGTATCCTATCCATGTGCCTTATCTGGCAGAAAGGTTATGTTACCATCCTTTATCAAAATGGTCAGTACAGATTGATCCATTGGGGGGGGGGGCAGAACTGACTCGGATTTCGCTTACCAGGGATGTGGTCAGGAAGTGAACTCGGCAAGCCAGATTCACAGTGCACCGCGCTACCCACTGCGCTACTGCTCCCACCTCAGAATTCTTCAGGTTTTTTTAGCTCACTGATTCTCTTTCCGGGTTTGGGCATGACACGTGGCTAGAAGGGATCATGGCCAATGGTTGAGACTGGCAACGGAGGGACAGCAAAAGGAGGGGACACGCCTGGGAGTATGTCCACCACGGAAATGGGACGATGAAACTCGGCTCATGTGTAGGAGATAGATGGATCTATAAACATCACTTGGCGCCGAGGATTATTGGCGCCTTGGCGAGTCTTTCATCTAGCAGTGGATAGACTGTGATTACGAGGATGATGAATGAACACTTGAGCATGTAACCATTGAGTTTATAATCATTGTATGTCAAACGGATATCATGCTCGAGTTGACCAGTTAGCTGTGCACAACGTAGGGGACGCAAGGATCGTGCCCCGACAAACAGGGCTGTCGAAAGATTTTTGGAGGCCTGGGGCAAAATGCCAGATGAGGCCCCATCTAAGGCCCCCCCCGCCTCAGCCCTTCCTGAGCCCCCTCTTATGCCGGAGTGAAACGGCCCCACCTGCAACCCCTCTCCCCTCTCTCTCCCGACCACCACCCCTCCCCCTGATGAAGGCTGAACTGCTGCCAACGAGAAGCAGCCACAGCTAAAGCTTGTCAGGTTGAGCCAACTGCTGAAGTCAAGAGGCTGTAATCTTCCACTTTATACATATAAGCGTGTTACAATGTAACACAATTCGTCGATTCATACATTCTAAAATGAGGCAGAATAAGCGAAAGAATATTATACGTACGAGATCTTCAAAATGAGATAGTCAGAATGTATCATTGAATCAAATTGTGACCCCCAAATTATGACAATCCATAGAATAGCAGAAGGCTTGGGGTGGGAGTAGGAATAAAGCAATGCATACACACCCAATACGGCGTGAAATACGTTCAACCAGTCGCCGTGCAGTTATCGAGTGTGCAGGTGATCCAACTGCACCATGGCTACAAAACAGGAGGGACATTGGACAGGGGCCCCATTTCATTGATTGATGCAGAGCCCATGGCAACCACAGCTTAATTTTTTTGCCAACAACAGCCGTGTTATTACAGTTACTGGATTAAATGCACTGTTGATGTATTCATGGTGAACTTTCACCGCACCGTACGTAGACAACCGTGCTGATTGGAGGTGTGGGAAATGTGGTAATGTGGTGTGCAATTTATTTCCTGCCACGTAAATTCCAGACACTTAATAACGCCACCGTATCTGTTCTAGCTAGTTTGAAAAATAATTAATTTAGAAGTTTTTGTGTGTGTTTAGTTTGCTGTCCTTTGCCGCACCTCCAATCCGCACGGTTGGCTATGTATGGTGCAAATGAAGATCGACGTACATACCTAAAAAATAATGTAACGATTTAACTCAGCTTGGACTGAATATCTCCCCTACACTACAGTACTGCATTGAAAAAAAACACAATAGAAACCGATCCTTAGCCACACTGGCCATGGCGGTGAAATATGGTCACACAACCCCCATGACGGACATAACATGCAGATGCCTTCACCAACAGTGGATTGACCAAGGACCTGTACATTACTATTTTATATAGTTGTTATTTTCCTTAAGAACCTGACCATGAAAAAACCCACCCGGATGAAACACCTATTTCCGTAACCATTGTTTGCACACGCACACACTTTTCTAACCACCGATGTCAATCAATTATTGGAGCCCACGTGAATAATCGTATAAAGTAGCCCACATTTTTCAATTAGGCTAAAAGCTTCTGGGGGAAGGAGTGGTGCAGTGATTGGCGCACTGTGCGAGAACCCGGCAAGCTACGTTTTTATTCATGGCCACAGCCAAAATCAGTGGCAAATTATATCTGAACTGGCTCCAGAGCAGCCCATCCCCTTACCAACCCACACTGACCAACATAGAATGTATGTTCAAACAACACCCACTCATGACTGACATGAAGTGGTGAGGTCTGTATCCAGCAGTGGATTGAGAAAGGGCTGTAATTCATCTTCGAAAAACGCTTCAATAGGTAAAATTTTGATCAAACCACATTAAATTAAACATTCACGAACAGTGCTGTAAACTGGCTGGATCGTATCACCAAAAAACAATTATGGCAAATGGCTATCATTTTTTGGACATTTTATTCCATGTAATTTCATGACCAAGTCAAGGATATGCATATCAAAGAGAGACGCTTGTTGGTTACTTATTTCCAAGCCTACCCCCACATCGCATCAACACAAGACAACAAAAGTCAATCGGCTTATACCGTGGCAGTCGGAGGCGGGCGGCTGCTATAAATCTGCTTTCCACCTGTCGATCCAATAACACCTTGCCTTCTTAATCAAAGCAGTAATTATTAATGATATGAGATAAACAACCCATAGCCCAATGCCATGTATGAAACCCACTCAGGTGCCCATCATACTTAACCTAACAACTTTCAGAAATAGCAGTGATTGTTAAGCTCACAAACCATGCATGAGATGACACTGAGATTTAAGATTGAATTAAGCATGCCATTTTGGTTGGTTCTGTAGTAATCGACCGATACATAGTGCAAACGCACAGTTATTCATTTACACAGGACTTGAATTACATGTATATTATTCTTGAAATATTTTGATCTTACGTAACGTCACAATGTACATGGGTACCGTTCACCGAACAATCAGCAAGGCACAACTGCGCAACAACATGAGCATTTATCCTCAAAACACATGCGCGCTGGGCGAAGCTTTTACGTATACACACTCTCCCTTATTTAAGTGTCCACACCCTTTCATAAGCAGAGCTCTGCCTGAAGCTTGGACTCCGGCTACCTGCTGTGGAAACGTTTTGAACGTTGGGCCTCTGCCTCCTCCGTCACCGCCACGCAACTGAGGCTGTCAGGGGAGAGGGATAATAAGCTCCCTCTGTGCAACTTGTTACGCCTTTAAAACATCCCTCCCCTTCAACCAAAAAACCCCCTCCAAAAATCATAGCATTGGCTTCATTCCCTAAATTCACTTTGAAAAGGAAGCGACAGTAGCTGTTATTCTCGTGCGCACACGGCTTCAGGATCTTTCATATACGCATTACGACTCTTTTTGTTATATATTTTTTTTATATACACTTTGGCAAGAGCCCGGTACAAGGCACAAACTGTAACAAACGCGGTGGGGTGGGGGGGTAGAGACATTGTGCAGACAGAAGCCCGAAGTCAGTGCTAAGCATTGCGACTCTAAAACGGGAAATCAAATGCTTTGATATTTCATAATGTGACGAAGCACCACGTTGAATCCAGCACTGCACATTACAGTGTCTTAAAACGATCCGGGTCTTGGCGGCTTAAACCTGACGCTAATGTGAAGTAATCCTCTGGAATCCCCCCCTTCCGCATGGCACCACCAACATGGTGGTTCGGATTAAGTTTTATACTTTTGGCAAATGCGTCAATTCCGTGGATCACGATGACTAGAACCCAGCCAAGCACTGCTTGGAATTTACTACCCAGAAGTTTAACCTCAGAGACATCTCAAACATTGCCTCTATATGATGCCCACCCTACCTCACGTGGGACAATTCACAAAAGGCGATTGACCGTCAACTGGTCACGGGTGAAATCTTTGTTTAAGACTCTGGGATTTGGCACTGCCCTCTGCTGGTCCACAGTGCATTGGGAAGAGGAGAGGGCACGTGGATAAATTGGCTCGAGCCCTGAATGCTCCTCTCATCCGCAGCGAAAGGAATTTGCCGTTAGGCCCAAGAGCACTCATGAAATTACCCTTTTCATAAGCACTGCTCGGGATGAAAAGAAAGCAAACCTTTTAATAACTCAAGAGCGAATTAAAAAGTCAATAAGGGCTGCAACGGCTCCTTTTTTTTTGCTACATTGCAGCACTAAATTACATTTTCATACAGAAATAATAATATTAATAAATAAGAAAACTAATTATTTTAAGATCTTTGTCAATCACTTTCTGGATGAAAGCCCTGCGAAGTCTTATTGGTCGTGGGGATTGTTTGACCACATTGTACCGTGCTGGTCAGTGTGGGTGAGTGAAGTAAGGGGAGGTGAGAGGGGAGGAGGGGCTGCCTGTGGGGGGGAGGGGGGGGCTGCCCAGAACTGGTTCAAATATCACCGGGACACTGCTGTTAACTAGAGCCAGGAATCAAACTCGGGGTGCAGGATTCAGAGTGCATTGCGCTAACCAGGTCCAGAGATTCGTCGCACCCTCTGCCCACCTCAGAGCTGCGGGGGACCGAGGGCCAATTGTTTGCAAGGACTTTTCATGGATTGGCTTTTGGATTTTACTGCCGGTTGCCACCAGACGCCAACCTTTATCCTGGCTTGGGACAGACAGAAACACATTTCTGGCGGAGACTATGCTGTTCTCTTGGGCTTACACATGGTTGAGCGAGTGGACTTTAAATTTGACACATTGTGCCATTGCTCCACTGTATTCAACAATTACCCTTTGTTGTTTTGGGTTCGTCACCATAAATAAATTACAAAAGTAGGATGACGAATAAATGCCAAAATTAAAATAACATCTTCACACTGCTGCCACCTGCAATGGATAGACATCCTAATGCTTAACAAACGCCTGCCTGAATATGTTGGTCTGAAACCTGCTGTGAATCAATTATGCTGTGGAGCGTTACTATAGTGTGCCGATTGACATAAATCAGCATCTTGCGATGCAGCTGCATGATGAGACTGCAGTGCTACATATATGCAAATTTGATTATAATTGTATAATTGTATAATTAATTATAATGCAGGCTTTTGAAGAGTTCGTGACTTGCAAACATTGTGTGCAATGTAAAATCCAATATTTTAACTTAAAAGTATATTTTGTAACAGTGGTGAGGCAGGTCAAGACACAGTACAACTATGCATTCTCATGGATGTATATTGAACTTTCTTTCGCACCATACGTGGACAGCCATACATAAAACACATGCCATCTGCTCCACAGTGGACAAGCTTTGATGTTGCCTAAAATTATGTGGGTTTTCACCAGGTACTCCAATTTCCCCTCGTGTGCCAGGCCCTCATTAAAGTGATCAAACATCCCTGTGCAGAGCCCTCCTGAAAAACAAATCTTGAGATTCAGACGTTCCTGGGTACAGCACATTCTTTATTTTTACCTATTCGTGTGACTTTGTCAACTATGTCCATGTGGCTGCATATCTAAGAGCTGCATATTTATTTCAAGTCATCTATCGTGCAAGAATATTTGTAGAAACGAAAAATAAAATCCGAGAATCACCTAAAGCGTGAAGCCTACCCGGATTCTTTTTTCAACTGAACATTTTATTTGAGAGGGATATGTCCAAGCTAAACGAACAAAAATAACTTTACAGTATTTGTGATTAGGGCTTATAATCATATAGTTTAACCAACTGAATGTTAAAAGGTAAAGGAGCAGCCCTGTTTATACTTGCTCAGTACACTGCTGATGTAAGGACCTCCACTAGTAGAGGGAGCTTGAGATGTCGCCTCTACACTGGTCCAACATCTTGAAAGAGGTGGGAATACCCACACTTTACCCCACCAGGTGTGATCTGCCCACTAGCTAACTGTGACTGCACCTGTTTATACTGCTGGGTTGACAGAGGCAGGGAGGGGGGTTTCAGTTAAACTTGTACCATGTGGATTGGGAGACCAGTGTGGTAACCACTACAACAGTATTAACACCATAGCGGAATCCTTGAAAATAACTTAATGTGTGCCTATCAAAACGTAGCACTAAATCTGTACCAAGTGGTCAGGCACACACGACTTATGCCAGACGTGGTTTTCAACAACTCATTTCAACAGGAGTGATAACGTACTTCATACATTGAATCAAAACATTACTGTACATAAAAAAACTACCACAATACTAGAACATAATTGTGATTTTTAAAACCCCATCCATCATGATATGGTTCACTCTTAGTCCCTTGCATCTGTTTAATAACCATTATTAGGGTTAGCTAATCATATTGGTATTGACAGTAATTTGTCTTTTCCAGAATCTGATTCATAAAACATATACATATTGCATTTCAACGTAGAAAACCCTTTCCTATTCCAGTTTGCTCACATGGTTTGTGGGATAACAAAACATCCATTATCTCCCAAATTAACTTCACAAAAATGTACGTACACGTGACAGGAAGCAAATCGGTCTGTAATTCTTTAAGTGATTTTGTCTCCTTTTATTTGATAAGAATGAATGAGATTTATTTGTTAAACATTTAGGGAACATATCCGATTATTTTGTTACAACAGCTGGTCGTGCATCTATTATGAAGTCGACCATGATCGTAGCTGGTCTAAAAGCTTCCAGCTTGGGGAATTCATCAGCAGCCATGATCAATCCACTGCTAGATGAAGGCCTCCAAAAAGCCATAACCATCTCTCACGCTCTTAGTCCACCTAGCACCTACATAGGAGCTGATTTTATCGCTCCATCTCCTCTGTGGACTTTATTTTAGAAGGCTTGTGAAATTACAGAATATAATTTTAGCGCACGGAACCCATGGAGGATGCAAGACAAGCCAAGCTGATGAGCTGAAGAAGCGGCCTATTCTCATTGCCGGGAGGCGAACAGACTCGCACATCTCTCTTGATGCAACGTGACAGTGTTTAGGTTCAACAGAACAACTCACCCACCACCCTTCAACACGCACCATGCACCCAGTCGTCAATTAAGGCCAAAGCTGCTAACACAGGCCACCCACAGCATTAGCCTAACAAAGCAAGCGATTGCATGTGGGCAAATTATATTGAATACGTGTAAACAAACGTAGTTGTAATTTTTGTGAATTCTCACTATTGTAATTAATAATCCCATACATTGCATACTATAGCCAAGTTTTGCAATGCTGCTATGACTGATGTAACTTGCATGTGTTAATTGATCAAATGCCCATTTGCCTATGACCAAATAGCCCTGAATATGCCCGTTAGATCTCAGAAATAAAGTTGAGCCTGGTTAGTGCTTGGGATGGGAGGCAGCCTGGGAATACAGTACCAAGTGTTGTTGTAGGCTTGAGCAGTCAATTGACCAGTAGAGGAATGGATCATTGAATCCAACTGTGCGGATCTGTGTTATCCGCTCAAATGCATGTTTTCTCACGGTACTCACACTGGTTTCCTTCTACAGGAAGGTAGACCCTCATGATTTAAATTGACCAAATATCGCAATGTAACAGGAGCATCATGAATAATGGTCTTGAAACCCAGGATTTCCTGAGTACGGCACTATAAATAAACGGGCATTAATACGCATGCAATCTAGATGAGCATGTAATTGTGGGTTAGGATAACGTATCCCTGCAGCAAATAATAATAATACGTTATGTTACTGGGCGAGAACCGGCTGCAACTGTGTGTCACGCTTGCATATGCAGTCTGACGCGCAATCAACTTTCATTACAATCATCTCTGCACTAATTATCGTCATTACCCGTGCGCTCGGAGCAGCTATTGTTTTGCGGCGTGCATAATTTTAAACCGGCCCAAAAGACAATCGTATATATGTGGATTATAATATAATCTACATATTGTGAGATGTGCACAACCGCGAGTATTTTGTACGTGCAATGTCTGCCTGAATTAAGTCAAATACAAAAGATTGCATAAGTAACAGACCAATATCACAACCACTTTGTCAATCCACTGCTGGATGAGGGGGCTCCTCTCTCTGCTTCGACCGTGGGGAGTTGTTTTTTCCCATACTTCACGTTGCTCAGTGCAAGAGTCGTGATGTTGAGAGAAGGAAAGGTACAGGTTCAGGTAGAACTCGCCACTGATGTTAGCCGGGAATCGAATTCAGGTGGCCGGGTTAGCAGCAAAGTGCGCAAGCCACCTCGATTATATTATTATACGATACTTTAATAATAAGCAAGCATCACAATGTGAATACACCAGTATTCATTGTTAACATTCGTGTGGTTTACACTTTATAAAGGTGGAACACTCCATCTTAAACGCGGTACTCTCAATGAATTCACTCTGGCTACGCGCTACAACACCACACACACTTACCTATCCCAAACTTTAGTTCACAGTTTCTTCAAACCGTATGAATCAGTTATACTTACTTGCATTTCAATGGACATCGCGTTTATACGACAGTATACATATTTACTTTTGCGCCCATGCATTTGCACCGATTATAATTATTCAACCTCGTCGATCAAACAAAACATCGGAATCGTTCATCATCACTGCTATATGGTAATTATCGCATTACCTGTTAGGCGCCGGTCTTGTGTGATTTTTTCTGAGAAGCTCCACTCGCTCCAGCCCACATCGGTTGTTCATCCTCCACGGTATTCCCTTTGTGAGCCATCTAGAACAAGCATCCCCCCCCCCCCCCCAACGTGTTATGATGTCAATATGAACACACGCGCTCTCAAAGATACACTTTGCTAGTATAACAACATAACACACTAATCACCATTACTTGTTTTATATGTATATACACCACACTGCGTTTCTTCTGTCCCGTGAAGAATTCATTCACCATTCCTTGGCGCTCATTTTCCCTGCATGTTATGAAACCCACGTGTCTGCAGCGATAGCGCAGCCAGCAGCCCCACGACACACCGTGAACCCGGAAAATCCGAGTTCGACTCCCGGCTACAGCCCCGGGCTAACCGGAGCAGGCGTCTGACATTCACCAACCACGCACTGAAAGAGCGCAGTTGAGGTGTGGCAAAACAACAGCAGCCGCGAACTGCAAGGCTTGGGGGGGAGGGGGGAGGCTCTTCATCCAGCAGTGGATTGGTAATGAACAAGAACTGAAACTCACGGTCGTATATTCTCCCGGCCTGCCTGCTCGCTCTCCGCGTGCCTCTCTGGCCGCCTGCCTCGCTTACATCCCCGCATGCGCAGCCAGCTCCACACCCCCTCCTCCCACTCACACGTGGGCAGACGTCTTCATTCAAGCTGCGTGGTGGCGTGAGTGACGAAATATATGCTCGTGCTTTATGTAATAAATACGCAACGGCGATCGGAGGAGTTTCGCGTTTGTCAAGTTTACAGTAACGATGCCCTTTGGGGCCGTCCATAAATGACGTCACGCGATTTTGGACGATTTTTGACCCCCCCCCTCTCGTCACACGGCGTCACAAAAAGTCAGACCCCCCCCCCTCAAATATGACGTCACAAAGCTCTGCCCCCCCCCCCCCCAAAATATATAAACACATGCTTTAAATCGCTTTAAACTATTGTCATTGTAGTGCGTATTTAATGTGCCGCTGCAATCTGATGTTGTAGGAGAAAACATTTATCAAAAAGTCTATTTAATTCAGTAGAACGTGTTGCCTATATTCATTTAAAGTTGCGCATTTTGATGTGACGTCACATTTCTCACCCCCCCCCCCCTCTCGTCACACATCGTCACAAAGGTCTGACCCCCCCCCCCCCCCGCCTAGGTGCATGACGTCATTTATGGACGGCCCCTTTATACACCTTACTCGTGATGTAATGATCAGCGACGGGTGCAATACACACGTCGATGGTCGGGTTCGATGTTATTGGCGCGACAGCTGAAACGATGAAGTTTCTTAAACTCCACCCGAGCTCCGTCCAGATAATTGCAGTCAGTCGATCAGCAGCAGATCGCGTGTGGTAGGGTAAAGTATGGGTACTCTCACCTCTCATGGGACGCCTGACCAGCGTGGAAGAGTAGGCCAAATACAGGAGCTCGCTTGGATCTATCACCCGTGAAGGCTCTACTTGCAGCAGTGGCGCAATGGTTAGCACACTGGCATTCGAATCCGGCTTCCCATCCACGGCGAACAATCGAGACGATTTATATATTGAATGAACTGGTCATATCTACCTCTTTACCAGCCATTTGAACTGACCAGCGTGGCGAAACAACCCCCATGACCGACACGGTGTGGAAGAAAGCGTTCATCCAACAGTGGAGAGAACACATTGGATAGACAGTACGACAAATGGTATTCTCACACAGCTTCCCATTCAAAATACATGCGAGGCTCCAGCCCTGATTGGCTTCCGAGAACGGATGAGATTGGGCACAGTTCGGGTGATCTGGACAGAATGTTCTGTCCCGATGGATTTGTATAGATCACTCCACTTAAAGAATAAAACAAAACTCGTTCTCATACAATGTTTTTAAATTAATTTATTCATATAATTGATTGAAGACTTGTAAATGTCCATCTTATTTGGTTCTTTCGGTAAAGTCACGTAGAATGAGAATAAAATAATAAAATAAAACAAAATTCTCACGACGTTTCGGCCACAACACAAGTGGCCTTCTTCAGGTGAAAGGAACAAACCTGTCGGGACGACAGAGCTTCAATGAACGCTGCTAAGATTCGCAGCGTCTTTTAAGCTGGTTGACAGAAGTGAGGCACCTTGACAAAGGGGTTTACATATCAAACAGGAGAATTTAGCATTGAAACAGTTGTGGGATTAGCTTGTGACTGGTCACAGAAATAGCTATGTTAAATGAAGAATATATTGAGTACATTTATTATCTTCTTTGGTTCTTTCGGTAAAGTCACGTAGAATGAGAATAAAATAATAAATTGATAAAATAACACAATAATATTCTCACGACGTTTCGGCCACAACACAAGCGGCCTTCACCTGATGAAGGCCGCTTGTGTTGTTGTTCACCTGATGAAGGCCGCTTGTGTTGTGGCCGAAACGTCGTGAGAATATTATTGTGTTATTTTATTTTATCAATTTATTATTTTATTCTCATTCCACGTGACTTTACCGAAAGAACCAAAGAAGATGAATCCTTGCAGTCACGAAAGCTTTAAATCGAAATTTACATTTATTATATTGATGTAATTTAGACTTAGGTTTTTTCACATCGGTTTACTGTATGATAGTTGAGTTGTTGCAGCCCCTTTGGCGTCCATGTACGAGGTGCCTCTGTGGGTGTGTAGGCTTTGACTTTAACATAGCTATTTCTATGACCAGTCACAAGCTAATCCCTCAGTTATTTCAATGCTAAATTCTCCTGTTTGATTTATACTAGGTGCCTCTGTGGATGTGTAGGCTTTGACTTTAACATAGCTATTTCTGTGACCAGTCACAAGCTAATCCCTCAACTGTTTCAATGCTAAATTCTCCTGTTTGATATGTAAACCCCTTTGTCAAGGTGCCTCACTTCTCTCAACCAGCTTAAAAGATGCTGCGAATCTTAGCAGCGTTCATTGTAGCTCTGTCGTCCCGACAGGTTTGTTCCTTTCACCTGAAGAAGGCCACTTGTGTTGTGGCCGAAACGTCGTGAGAATGTAATTGTTTTCTTTTATTATTTTATTCTCATTCTACGTGACTTTACCGAAAGAACCAAAGAAGACGAATCCTTGCAGTCACGAAAGCTTTAAATCGAAACTTGTAAATGTGTATTTAGATCTTAGGATACATTTTAAGCACCTGTCATTTTTATTGTCTAAATTTTATAAATATAATTTGTATTTTAATCAAACATTACTTGATAAATAATAAGGCGGCCTTTTGTCAATCCACTGCTTCACGAGGATGTCCCTAAACAGTTGGTTGTGAGGAGTTATTTGACCATACTTCACCACTCCTCAATTGGTGAAGAGGAACAGCATTTAATATAGCAAAAAAAAGTGTAACGTATGTAGAGAAAAAAGAGTATACAGAAAAGATAAGTTGTTATTACCCAGGTCTCTCGTGAAAAGAGTTCGCCTGATAACTTTAATATAAATTGTCTTATGGTTCTTATTGTTTGACTTGCATCCCACTGGGATTTTTGCACACAGCGTTGATATACGGTGTTTTTTTCTGGAAGACTTTGCTGTTTTTTCCTGGATTTTTATGTTGCGCGGAGTCACTTTAAGATTTTCTTTGTTCATGTTTTTGTTTGTTGCGGTTGCACCCGAGTCAAGAGCCGCATGGCTCACAGGGCTATACTTAATCAATTAAACTGAAAAGGCTGATTTGAATGCCAATACGATCTCATCGAGTTGTGAATAGGCGATTGATGATGTTGATAATGTGTTCATGAAGATTTAAGGTCTCGCAACTTAGAATAGTAACGCTCTGCTAAATGTGTCAATTAAAGATTCACTGCTTTGTAAAATATGCAACTTGAATGTTGTTAATCTTGCCTAAATATACGAGCAGCTTGCATTGTTGTTTTATGTGATCATAACACTAAAGTTATGAAATCAAAGACGTATGCTACATGATATAACAAAAAAACAAAGTGCTCTTATGAACAAAATATTCCTTTAACCATTTATAATTAAGAATGTAATCAGAGACACAATTTTCGTTTGTTCTGGTCGTGAGTTCAAACTCGATACTGATACCTGTTGTATTTTTGGAGCTTGCATGTTCTCCCTGTGGTCGCGTGGATTGTTGGACCTAATTAACACCAGTTGCGAGTGATAGCTAAACCGGCCCTCTCTATTCAGCGTGGTAAAGTATGGCCATAGAACTGATGCGATGTAGGGAGGAGGCCTTCACCCAACAGTGGATGGACTGTATGGATTACTTAGTGTCCTTTTCAAGACAGACAAGGCTGGATTAAGCCATCATTCTACTGCCTCTTGTCTCATGTTCGGGGAGCATTGCATACATTCTCATAACAAGGGCGCTCTTCGTGTCCTTTTGTGGCCACTCAGCTGACAATTTACATGGTCTGCCGGGTGTGTAATAGCAGCCTTTTGTTAATAATGCTTGTATAATGTGCATGCTTTTTCATGATCGCACAGTGGCACTTTGCGTAACAGCATATTTTTTGCAGCTTTCAGTCCAACACACCACTTCTGCATGTGTTTTTTATGTATCATAAATATATACAACACAGCACTTGTGTTAATTTTACAATTTCAACTTTGTTCATTGCTCGCATTTAATAAATACGAATAAGAATGTGCAGCCCTTTGCCAGTCCCTTGTTGGATAAAAGCCTCTCCATTGCTGTCGGGCTTGGGGATGTTTCACTGTGCAGTACTTCACCACGATGGCCAATATTGGTGTTGATGATATAAATTCGCCACTGATGCTAGCCGTTGCCAGGAACTGAACTCAAATCGCAGGTTCATAGCGCAGTCCGCTAACCAGTGCTCCAGCTCTTATAATACCGAAACACAAGAATGTATAACAATGTTAATTGTTCGGATGACATTTGTCGGAGTTTTTCACGCTGGTGATCTATGACCCGAAATGACAGCACTTAAGATATGTTACTGCTGCTTCTCGTGGTGGTGATCGTCGTGGTGATCGTGGCAGTGGTGATCGTGGCAGTGATGATCTTGTTAAACGAGCTGGGCTAAACACCTACGGTGACCGCACTTTTCAGAATGTGGGCCCTGTCGAGTGGAACAACTCCCAACAGGACAAACGCCTCGAGTTCAACCACCGCTTCAAGTGAGACCTTAACGTTCAACCTAATCTCCACAGCGCGTCGATGAGACGGCAATGCACATTAGAGATGATTTTGGCATGCTTATGCGTTTCTTAAATGCCATTTACATTAAAAAAAGCTCAACACATTATTCAAGAGCACTGCCCGAAACGAAAATGTGTACACAGTACTGGATAACAAGCAGAGTTTTGGGTGATGATCATTCTTCATACGTCTACTTAGAAGCAGGTGGGGCACCATACACATTTTCAGCCCAAATAAACAAGCAACGCTTATCTTCTAGATACATATGTCATGTCCATGAGCTGTCTGACAGGAACATGCAGTTTCGTTTATGAGGACAAATTAATTCAAGTTGTACTGATTCAAGTAGTTGTGATATGTTAATCCAACAACGTGACTTCAAATAAGTAAAAGTCAGTTTATCTCTACGTGGAAGTATTGTTCAGTCCATCAGCGTTATGAGCCTTCCGTATGGGCCATTGTTTTTGAGCTATGTTTGTTTAAGCAGGGGGCAAGTCCCCCTGCTTAAACAATGATGATTTGCATCAGCAAAATCATGTCCGTTTAACAGCTGTTACCGTATAATGTTTTAAGTCTTTGTTTTATAAACAGAGCTTCAAATGTGTGTCAAACACCCCAAGACAATAATTTAAGGGAAATGTTTATGCAAGATAACCCTGGGTTTACATTTTAGGTTGAACCAACGTTTGCAGCTGGTCGGGTGGTGGCTCAGGGCTCGGGGCAGAGCCAAAACCGGCTTCTAGTCTCTCTGCCCGGTCAACGATGACATTATGGAGCTAAAACGTAGCTAAAATTCCACCTCTGGAGATGAAATAGCTACGTATAGGTTGCACTGACATGTCACGAACATGCCTGCAAGCACTGCACGTTGTAAATGTAAAAGTGATGATGTCAGAAGTAGTTATGTGATGCACGCTTCCGCAGAATAGGTTCTTCTTCGGTATTCTTCTCGTGGTGTGATGTTGACAGCACAAATGAAATGCATTTGGGACAAAAGTGAAATGTTAACATTTGACGTGTAAAATAATGTACTGTATATCAGTATAAGCATAGGTTTCGTGTTGATAGTACAAAAACAAAAAAACTTAATTCTGAACTTCTTCATTCCTCCCAGCTGATAATAACCGTATTCTTTAGATAAGATGCAGTTTGCCCGGAGTTTTAAAAAGGCAGGCCTCTTAAAATCCGGCAGATGGTGAGTGTGATAGATGGAGTTTGTGTCGCTACATTCAGATTGGGCGTATGTTGTGTTTTTGTATTTCTCTGAACCTTACTCATGAGGTAGTTTCGGGTTATTGCGCTCGGGATAAGTGTTCCACATATTTTACTTTCCGGAGTGCCTTGGAATCCTCAAGTCCGAAGTAAACAACACAAAACGCTGCTTATCAAATTATCTCAAAAATGATGTTTCTGGTTTAACATGTTTTTCTTGTAGACGTGTCTGACAAAACCAACAAGGAACTACTATTTTCTACAACCTCCCAAGAAAGCCTACATGCTGCCTCTTATGTGAGTACTGCGACACTTGTTAGTAATTCTACTACATCACAATTACATTTAATTGGATTTAATGCCACCCTTCAAGAGGCTGAGCAGCCTAATTAGCAAGGGACCGCGGCCATGTGCGTACATTTGACAGGGAAGGGTTATTTAAGCCGTCAAGTGAGCGCGGCCCCTCAAAGGCAACCCATGTTCCGCGTTTATAACGCTATGCAGGATAAACACGTTATAAATATTCCCAAACTGCAGCCAACAGCTTGAAAAATAAACCAACCGAAGGTATCGCGATGACACGCACTGGCCTACACTAAATATCAAATCGGCGTTGTAAGTTTTAAAAAGGCGTGTTTTGTGCGTGTGTCGGCCACCCGGCGGTGAACGTCCCGGCGGCCGAGGCACCCGCGTCTTTCCCGGACGGAGAGGCTAGGACAGGGCGTAGGCTTCGGCCTACAACCGCGTACTGCGCACGCGTAACGGAGTGGCCACGATCGTAATCATCATCGCGTGCAGCCAGCTGCTTGCATGCCGTTGTCTTGTGATCGGCTCCATAGGCTCTGGTGCTGCCAATACACGTAATTATGTTCCAACGTGTGCTTACAAAAGGCCATGTGCCGTGCATGAACAGCAACACGCGTTTGGGTTGGACACCGGGGGTGAGCGTTGAGGTTCTTCAAAGTTTGGCGTTGTGCTAGAATGGTGTTTAATAATAAAAGGTTCGTGTTTAGGATTGGGACTAAGGTTTTGAGACATGGTTAATCATTCGGGTCATAGCTGGGGTTAAGGATGATGGGGTTTTTTTGCGCACAGTAATATAACGTTCACGTTATAAAATAACACCAGTATTTAAATGTTTCATGTTCACTTATTGTACAGTATTGCATGATTGTATACGTCTGCAGCGCATTCGATATGCTTAAAGGTTACATATATGCACTGGCAGTGATAACTTTTTTTGACTATAAAATGCACGTCGATTTGGCATTAAGAACAATGTTTTTATATTGTTTTTTTTTTACGGTAAAATCACTTAGAAAAAATAATAACAATAAAATAATAAAAAAGAAAGTGAATAAAAACGTTGTTTGTATTTAATGTTCTCGATTGACATTTCGGTTATTTCATTACGTTATTTTGAAGCGCATTTTTACGAACGTGCAAGTCTGCATGCGGGATTGCTAGGCAAGTCTTCCGTTTAAAGTGACGAAAGTCTCAAGTTCACGAATGTCGTTTACAGGTGGCGCTACACAGTCATGCTGCTGCTGCTGCCTCTGCTGCTGCTACTGCAGCAGTCTGGGCTGTCGCTCTGCACAGTCCCGACTCTCAAATCCACCGACATGAACACCGTGGTCAATTCTCCATATTCTTCCCTAATTTATTTTAAACAGAAAAGTAAGCCCGGTTAGCTTTGTAGATTTAACTCCTCCCCCACCCCCTAACTGCTTCCATGTGCTTAGCCATGCACGTGCATTCATTGAGATGTGGACCATCGGGAATGGACATTTATTGACAATCCGTGCATGGGTTGAGTATGAGCATATCACTTGACGACACTTGTGGAAGTGGTACATTGTGAACGTTATTTAAATGTGTGTTTATTTGATATAGTGCTTTCGCTATGTAATGTATTATCTTCCAGGATGTGTGGCCAGTGTGAAGGTGTGTGGGCCAATACTCCACCAGGGGCTGTCAATCTCCCATCTCTAGTGGAGGCCCTGCAACCAGCAGTGTTGGGATATTTCGAGTAATTATTTCTGGCAAAGACTTTATTTAATTGCAGCTGTATGAGTTGTTTTAGGCATTTAAGTATTCAACTCCCCCACCCCAAGTGATTTGTTGAATTGTTTTCTTGTATTTGTTTTACTGCATTCTGATATTAGTGTTTTTGGTCGTTTTGTTGTCTTTGTACAATTGTATTCTGCTCCATTAGCCTAAATAAAACATTTCTGGAATACCCTTGCCGCTTATCTGCAGCTTGGTCCCCCCCCCCCTTCTTTCCCCGTCTGTATTTCCCTATTACACCAAAACCCAGAGCATAATTGCACCTGTACCTAACATTCTGGCACCTCTCTCCGCACGTTTGCAACTGTTTTTTTTTATTTACGTGTTTATGTCACTGTTAGACTAAAATATAGAGCTTGCACCTAACTCTGGCGCCACTCGCTCTCACATTTGCATATTTTAAAATGCGCGTGTGTTTAGTTTATGACCGTCAAACACCTCGTTGGTTGTGCAATATTCCTTAATGACCCCGAACTCGTTCTCTGCAATGTTTATGTTTTTGTTTTGTTGTTGTTGTTGTGCTCAAGCACCAGATATTTCCCTTGTGAGATAGCCGGGGGGAAACTAGCTCAACGCGTTCATACGTGTTGCAAGTAAAATAAACTTAAAATAGCATGTTCGTATCGTTTTCATAAACTAAATAATTTAGTCTCACATGCACGACTTAGTGCATGGATCATGAGTGTGAAAATTAACGTAAATTGGTTAATAGATGAGGATTTTTAAGCTTGTTTCTTCATGCTCTACCACAGGTACCATCCAAGTGAAACATTTTTTGAAGAATCTGGATAACGCTTCTGAACTGCTTAAGCAGTATGCGATTTCAGTGTGGCAGGTATTTACATTAAACGCACAGATAACAGGCGTACCATATTAAAGCATTATATGAAAAAAGTTATGTTTTATCACTGTGTTTCTCTTTTTGTGTTACACTGTATAATATTTTTCAGGTTGACTGCCAAGAAAACCACGTGGAGCGCTTTTGTGAGAAAGACAATATTATCAACAAAGCCTATCTCTTTCAGTAAGTGTCCAGTCTCTCTTGACATATTATTTTATGGGCCACAGCTGTGGTGGACAGAAAGTATTTCTATCGCTTTGGAATGTTATCCTCTTACGTCAACATACGCTGTTTAATCTCTATTGCAGGCTGAACAAACTACCTCAGCCCCTTTACCTCGATACTCTATTTGATGTCGACTCTATAATGGCCAACACTCTGCAGTAAGTATCGTTGTGACCCACTTTAAAATGTGGGAATTGGCCGAGCAGCATTTGTTTTGTTTATCTTAAAACAACGTGTACACTCGTGTGGAGGGTAAATGTTGCATGTGCAAAAAAAACCCTCCAGATACTGGGATGTGTTTTTAAAGGGGGTTTAATGTGGGGTAATAAAACATTTATAGTAAGTTACAGGATATATATACAAATGGCTGAAGATTATATTTTGTTATGCACTTGTACTTTCGTTATGCATCTTTAAGTAAAAATGCCATACAGTATATATGTGTTATAGTATGTGATTCAATCATTATTCTAAGTAAAAAATATATCTTCCTGAGTTATTTAAGAAAGGAATAGTATACTAACTTGTCAAGTGTCATTGTTATTTTGGTGTACGAACCATACCTGTTAAACTTCCCCAGCTTGCTTTTGATGGAGGAGGTGAGATTTGTCCAAGATAAGCAAGGGCTGCAAATCCTCAAGGACACAGAAAAGGGCCGTAGAGATGTTGTGTTTGCTTATCTCCGTGCTACTGGTCTTCCAGGTATGAATGCCTTGAGAAAAAAGTGCAAATCACTTTTCTTTTTGCGTGGTCAGTGTGGATCGATAAATCCACTAAACTAACTGCACGTGACTTGTAACTCTAGTTTTTCATTTCCTGTCTACGATTGAATATAACTTCTGTAAAAACTCCATTAGAGTGCATAAACAGGTATATACAGTTTGATCTTTTTAAAGACACAACTACAATTTTCAAAAGAAAGAGAAAAATACATTTGAATTGAAATCGTCTACATGTCTCCCACCAATGTCAACGTATTAAATCTTTTAGAATTATCCGAATGCACTTCATCCAACATATCTGGAGTAATTGCACTTCATCCAACATATCTGGAGTAATTTATTTACAGCATTCAATTATGCGTATACTGAGGTCATTGGAAATAAATGAGTTGTCTATATATGGATCCCCTTGTACTTTTTTTGAAATTTTTACAGGATTACTACTAACCTATCCGAGTGATGTGGTTTTACTTTCAGAACACAGAATATTCATAGAAATGGCATTTGTTTATGGAAACAAATTCATCTTTGCCTTCTCAACAGACCAAAACATTCTAAAGGACCTTGGGTGAGCACTATTAATAGTTTTGGGAAAATAAACTGAGAGTTTGTACCTAAATCTTGATTACAGTAATTAAGGGAAAGTTTATCAAGTTTCTGTTTTAATTAACCGATGCATACAATTTCAATATTATTTGAAAAAAAAACAGCTTTTTCCATCACTTAGTGGAAAGGAAGAGCTCAGCATTTCAGCCTACTGGCTTTCATTTCCTTAAGATTACTTGGCAAAAATAGCTTTCCGATGTGTTTTCCGGTTGTATCACATGTTTTTCGCTATTATGTACAGTAAAGCCTTGGATTGCGAGTAACTTGGGCTGCGAGTGTTTTGCAATACGAGCAAAAATGTTAAATAAATTATGCTCGCAATCCAAGGTTTTACTGTATAATGTTTTTCTCAACATGCTGGGAGCTTCTTCAGTTTATTAGTTCCCAAAGGAGCTTCCAGCATGTTGAGAAAAACACCGGACGTAATATATAACACCAAAAAACATGCTGTACAACCCAAAAACACATCGGAGAGCTATGCAGCACAATCGAAAAAAACCTAGTAAGCCAAAATGTCAAGGTCTATTTTTCCTCTGGGACAGTATGAATTATATTATCCATCTACCTGTTATTTCACGTAATGGATATATTTGTTTATTAACTGGTCACAGTTTCCTTGGTTTATTTTTACATTCCACAGATGCTGGTGTGCATTACGAATTGTTTTGTTCCTTTGCTGTCATACAGAGTGTTAGAGAGCTCCTTCTCCCCACACCTATGGCTCATCAACTGTGGGGATTTGTCACTGAGCGATGGCCAGCCATGCCCCGAGACCGCCTTCCGGCAGCCTTTCACCTTGCCTTACTTGCATCGTTTCTTTAAGCTCGCTTCAGGGCCATCTTATGTGAGTAACATTTGGAAAGAATAATTTATTAACACAGATGGTAAGTAGTTGTAGTCCATTGCTGATTGGTTGCACAAAAGTACCTTTATATTAACCCAATGGTAAATGTATACTCTACTACTTACAACTGTAAAAAATATGCAGCAGTAGTGTGGTGTTTACCACACTGCATTATGCTAACCACCAAGCCACTGTCCCATGCACTTGTAGCTATTTGTAAATATATTTATTTTTTGTTGACTCTAGTTTCGTTTTCAGGTTGAAACAACAGAGGATCCTGCACATGTGCAGACAATTTTTTCGGAGCTGCACATCCCAGAGGTGTTTTTGTTTTCACGGAGAGAGACGTACCAATATGACAAAATCACCGCGCGCACCTTGTCCCATCGCCTGCTGGGCTCAGCCGGTGTCGTCCTTGTCCGCTGGTAATGTTATCTTTACAACAAAGCCAGAGGACAATACCGTATGCTGCCTAGTCTTCCTGCTGAATGCATTAGACAGATGCAACGCACCGTGCTATTAGTAATGTTTTGTGTTATGTTGTATTGTGTCATGTGCTGCAGTGAGGAACACGGAGTTGCATTTCCAACTGATTTCAATGTCGCCTACAGAGGTGCAAATCCAGTAAGTTTGACTGAAATCTGCATAAAAAACATGCTCTTGAAAGCTGTTCTGTCGGCATAGCCGTGGTTAGCGCTGCTCATTTCTGCCTGAGGATGCCTCCAACGTGGGAGGAGAAACGTCACGAAGGAGAAAGCAGCGGTTTCTATGGCTATCCCAAAATAACATTTTACGAGTGTTTCTCATACATCAAGCCGTGAAAACCTACATCAGTACATCTACATAAAGCACATGATTTTCAACATGTAACTAAAAAGTGAATGGCCAAGCATGTTTTTTTTTTCAAGAATGCATTTCTGGTTACAGAGCGCAAAGGTGGAGCATCTGTTGATGCAGTCTTTTGAGGCGGTGATCACCCGTGTGGAGCGGGAGGAGACGCATGGCTCCGAGCAGGAGCCAGATCACAGTGGTTATGGTCAGCCCCAAGAAGAAGATGATTATGACCCCTCTTCCTCAGACTTTATGCCACTTTGGGGTAACAACTCTTCAGTTTCGTTCATGTTCATATCTCAGCGGTTGACACTGCAATCAAATGCACTGACATCACTGTAAATAAACAGCTGCAAAGTGCATAAATGTATTTATATTGCTTGTATGCTTTATATATACTTCGTGCAATGTAGTATATTGTTTCATATTGAACTGGACTGATAATTGTTGTGGCTGGATTTTACAATAGTTATGAACAGTCAATTAAATATGATTACAATTATCCGGACTGCATATCTCAATAATTCGTGTAATTTATTGTTATCTTCTTCGGGATAGTTTTGTCGTGTGTTTCTTTATTAATTGAATCAATTATTAATCGGAAAATTGTGCGTATGCGTAAAAGTATAGGCTGTGAAAAACCGATGTGTAAACTTGAATTGTGTGACATAGGTTCTCCCCGCAAATTAGTTCATAAATTGTCACAGAAATTGCTCTGTTCATGTGTGCAAGTATTCAAATGTATGTGCCGGTTTTTGTCTGTATGGTCTTACCTCGCAGCCATGCAGGATGATGAAGTTGTAATGGCTGTAGAAAAAATAAAAAATAAGAAGCTCAACCTGGAAGAGTCAGTCCCTGCACTCACAGACGTCGGCTACCAAAGGGTCTTATCGCAGCCAAACATGGATCTAGTCATCTTCTATCTTGGCTGTACGTTTATAAAAATGAAAAATATGTATTCAATGCAGGGTAACCAGTCTTAACGCTGCGTAAGAACTTGTGCAAAATGATTACAACTGTTACTTTATGTACACAGTTTATGTATTGTTATTTGTAAAATACCTTGCTGATTTAAAAGAAAATTGCTTATTAACGCATGTATTACAAGAACATAAGTGGTTATGACGTTGACATTTTTCACATTGCAGCTTTTGCTGTTGAATAAATGCAGCTTGTGTTTTCATCCACAAGGGGATGCTGTCTCTAAAGCTTTTTTATGGACCTTTGCAGAAGTTGCCAAAAAGATATCAGGTATGTGACTTTTAAGGAGTTTAACTGGTGATCAGCTTTTGGCTCGTTTAGAATTCACTTTTTATTTTGCGATATAGATCATAATTTACATCCTCAAAATATGGTTATCTAAGCTAGTGAATGTCAATTTATTTCTTGGCAAAATGTTTGATGGATTGATAAAGCAGACGCTAATGGTTTAGTATTTAAATTCATAATGCATTTTACAACACACCAGATGTTTACTGTCATGAAATCCGGTCCACCTAACAGTAAGTTTGACTTAAAAAATTCCACTCTCCGTGCACTTACAACTTGAAAGTCTGCCTGCGTGCCCTATCCAAGACAAATATTTAAACACAATTTCCATCCAATAAACGCCTTATTGCGGATGTGAGAGCAACCTTAATGGCATTTGCTGCACGAGTCCCAGCCCTAAGAAGTCTGACATTTTGTGCACACAGCAGCCTTCAGCGGTGTTGGCAGACGAGTCTCCCCGTGGCGCGTGGACTGTGCCGAGTGGACGGATGTTTGCCAGCATGCCAACGTGAGCCGCCTCCCCGCGGTGTTGCTCTTTTCATCACTGGTTCAGAGGCCAACCGCCTACCCCGGAACCTTGTCGAGGGATGCGCTTCTCAGCTGGGTGGCGATGTGAGTAATTTGCTCTCTCGTTATCCCTCGCCGTGACTCTCTCCTGAAAGAATCCATGGGCCCGAATCCCATATTGGCGGAAAGCTTTTTCACCCATTGTGTTTTGAAAACACACCAATTTCTTTTTACAATATGCGACGTTTGTTATTGAATGTTGGGTGATAAAAGGCTCTTCACTTATAGGAAATTTTACCCCATGCATGTGTCAACTTCCCTTGGGGCATTCAAAACATCGAGTGTTAATTTATTTTGTATTCTGGTCTCAGTAATGCTCATCTCCAAATACCTGTTTAGTTTGTTGCCCTTCCCCCGCAACTGCAATGAGCACAGTTGGCTACGTGCAGTGCGAAATAATTTTTAACATAGATAACGTATTGTTCATATAAAGATGCATTCAAGTAAATATACCATGATGGTGAGGTGGCGAGTGCACTGTGCTATGAACCCAGCAACTTGAGTTTGATCCCATGCCATGGCTAACATGGCAGTGGAATAATATCTCAACCAGTCCTGGCTATCTGCATTCACCGTTTCGGCGTGGCCAAGTATGGCCAAACAATCCCCATTACGTATTTGGCTTTGCAATGTCTTCAGCAGTGGGATTGACAAAGGTCTATTAAATAAACTTACCCATGTAGAAGGGAAACAATAAAATGATAAAAATATAAAACAATTAAATTCTCACGACGTTTCGACTGCAACACAAGCAATCATCATCAGGTGTGAAAACCACAGCAAGAAAATTTGAAAAAACGTAAAAAAAAACGCCACTTTTTTCAGATTTTCCTGCTGTGGTTTTCACACCTGATGATGATTGCTTGTGTTGCAGTCAAAATGTGGTGAGAATTTTATTGTTTTATATTTTTATTATTGTTTCCCTTTTACTTTACTTTACCGAAAGAACCAAGAATATGAATCCCTGCAGTCACGAAAGCTTTAAATCAAAATTTACCCATGTAATTTGCATGATCTTGTCAGTGTTTATACACTCTCTGCCTGAATAATGAGCACACGTATTTTTATTTAATTTCGCTCACTTTCACTTCATCTTTAACAGTAGCATTTGCTTGCTTTTTTTCAATCCTTGTGCGTTCAACATAACAGGAAATTGTGGTTTTAGCCACAGCAACCATGTAATTATGAATCTTATCTCAAGTGACCGAACACCCACAGGGTACGATTACTGTTATTTTGGCATTCGTGCGTCTAATATTACTCACTTCTCACGTTAAAAGTTACGTCCTACTTGTAAAAAATACGTACGGTATGAATAACCAATTTTAGAAATGGATAATTTTGTTTGGCTTTATATTCTTGGTTCTTTCGGTAAAGTCACGTAGAAGGGAACCAATAAAATAATATAACCAAGAATATTAATCCCTGCAGTCACGAAAGCTTTAAATCAAAATTTGTTTGGCTTGCCAATATTTCTGTATACAAGACAGTTGTAAGTCAAATTTATACAATGTTTGCATCGGTTTCCAAAAGCAATATTAGTTGTCGATTTGAGCATATGCAATATTCCTATAGTTGGTAAGTGAAATATTCTTAGTTTTTTCGGTAAAGTCACGTTGAAGAGAAACAACAAAATAATAAAATATATATATAACAATAAAAAATTCTCACGACGTTTCGACCATAACTCAAACGGTCGTCTTCAGGTGTGTTGGTTCGCATAAATTTATTTTTAAACGGCGCATTTATTTATTTATAAAAAAAACGTTAGCGCCACGCGCAACGATTTGGCAGTTTACCCAGGACTAGTCCATCTATATTCTGAAAAGAGGAGGGGGGAGACGATTTTTTTTTATATATATAATGTATTCTGTCTGAAAGCCACTGTAAGCGTGAACAATCAATTTCGTCTCCCCCCTCCTCTTTTCAGAATATAGATGGACTAGTCCTGGGTAAATTGCCAAATCGTTGCGCGTGGCGCTAACGTTTTTTATAAATAAATAAATGCGCCGTTTAAAAATAAATTTATGCGAACCAACACACCTGAAGATGACCGTTTGAGTTATGGTCGAAACGTCGTGAGAATTTTTTTATTGTTTTATATATATTATTCTTTTGTTGTTCCTCTTCAACGTGACTTTACCGAACAAACTAAGAATATGAATTACTGCAGTCACGAAAGCTTTAAATCAAAATTTAAGTGAAATATTGTTTCTGAAATTTAGTCCATTTAAAATACAACATCGGACTAACTCTTGAATGTATGTGTAAATGTCACTTAAGGACACCATAAGTAAATGATTATTGAAACAACGTTGGACACACAAGCAGGCAGGAGAATGCAGGGGATTGGCAGATAACTTGAAGAGAGATATTTGGTGTGAAAGAGAAAGGACGGAGATGGTTGTTTCATTTAAAATTTATTTTATTTGTTACACGGATGATCTTGTTTATCCAGTTGTCTGGCTATTTTACAAGCAGCAACAATAACAAAGACAAAAACACCATTATTGCAGAGAACGCGTACAGGGTCCTTAAGGGATACACAACTAATAATCGAGGTATTTAATGGCCATAACTGAAACACTTGCGAATATAAAAAAAACGGTGCAAATACAGTGAGGGAAAAAAGTATTTGATCCCCTGCTGATTTTGTACGTTTGCCCACTGACAAAGAAATGATCGGTCTATAATTTTAATGGTAGCTTTATTTGAACAGTGAGAGACAGAATAACAACAAAAAAATCCAGAAAAACGCATGTCAAAAATGTTATAACTTGATTTGCATTTTTATGAGGGAAATAAGTATTTGACCCCTCTGCAAAACATGACTTAGTACTTGGTGGCAAAACCCTTGTTGGCAATCACAGAGGTCAGACGTTTCTTGTAGTTGGCCACCAGGTTTGCACACATCTCAGGAGGGATTTTGTCCCCCTCCTCTTTGCAGATCTTCTCCAAGTCATTAAGGTTTCGAGGCTTACGTTTGGCAACTCAAACCTTCAGCTCCCTCCACATATTTTCTATGGGATTAAGGTCTGGAGACTGGCTAGGCCACTCCAGGACCTTAATGTGCTTCTTCTTGAGCCACTCCTTTGTTGCCTTGGCCGTGTGTTTTGGGTCATTTTCATGCTGGAATACCCATCCACGACCCATTTTCAATGCCCTGGCTGAGGGAAGGAGGTTCTCACCCAAGATTTGACGGTACATGGCCCCGTCCATCGTCCCTTTGATGCGGTGAAGTTGTCCTGTCCCCTTAGCAAAAAAACACCCCCAAAGCATAATGTTTCCACCTCCATGTTTGACGGTGGGGATGGTGTTCTTGGGGTCATAGGCAGCATTCCTCCTCCAAACACGGCGAGTTGAGTTGATGCCAAAGAGCTCCATTATGGTCTCATCTGACCACAACACTTTCACCCAGTTGTCCTCTGAATCATTCAGATGTTCATTGGCAAACTTCAGACGGCCATGTGTATGTGTTTTCTTGAGCAGGGGGACCTTGCGGGCGCTGCAGGATTTCAGTCCTTCATGGCGTAGTGTGTTTCCAATCGTTTTCTTGGTGACTATGGTCCCAGCTGCCATGAGATCATTGACAAGATCGTCCCGTGTAGTTCTGGGCTGATTCCTCACCGTTCTCATGATCATTGCAACTCCACGAGGTGAGATCTTGCATGGAGCCCTACGCCAAGGAAGATTGACAGTTATTTTGTGTTCCTTCCATTTGCAAATAATCGCACCAACTCTTGTTACCTTCTCACCAAGCTGCTTGGCAATGGTCTTGTAGCCCATTCCAGCCTTGTGTTGGTCTACAATCTTGTCCCTGACATCTTTGGAGAGCTCTTTGGTCTTGGCCATGGTGGAGAGTTTGGAATCTGATTGATTGATTGCTTCTGTGGACAGGTGTCTTTTATACAGGTAACAAGCTGAGATTAGGAGCACTCCCTTTAAGAGCGTGCTCCTAATCTCAGCTCGTTACCTGTATAAAAGACACCTGCGAGCCAGAAATCTTTCTGATTGAGAGGGGGTCAAATACTTATTTCCCTCATTAAAATGCAAATCAATTTATAAAAAATTTTGACATGCGTTTTTCTAGATTGTTTTGTTGTTATTCTGTCTCTCACTTTTCAAATAAACCTACCATTAAAATTATAGACTGATAATTTCTTTGTCAGTGGGCAAACGTACAAAATCAGCAGGGGATCAAATACTTTTTTCCCTCACTGTATGAGAGCAAGAGGTGCCAGAAAAGGTTAGGTACAATGGCAAGTAGCGCTCTATGTTTTATTATAACAGTGACAAACACGCGTGAATATTTTCCCCCGTGAATATTTTCTCATATTGTATGTATGTTCAAAGAAGTTGAACATAGTAATAGTCGAGGAAAGAGACTGAAAAGATTGATGGAAAGGAGGAGGAGATTAGAGGAACCTTCTGGAAGGTTCCAGAAAGATGAAAAGGGGGTGTATCGTATGCTTGGGGCCTGGCTTGTAGACGGCTTCCCGTGAGTGCACGTGTGTTGGGGTGCAATTGATTGTTAATAAAAGCCGAGACCCGAAGATTGTATGTATGTTGAACTTATTTTGCACCGTACGTAGCCAACCGTGCTAATCGGAGGTGCGGGGTAAGGACAAGAACAGATTGCCTCCTGTGGGGACTCCCTTTCATGTGTACTAAATATTTACACGTTGCATGTAATCAATATTCATAAATATACCAGGGTTGTAAAATAAATACTAATATGTAGAATAAACACTGGGGCTATATAATAATATGGAGGAGCAAGGGAGGACTTTATCGAAAGAACCAAAGTATGGATCCCTGCAGTCACGAAAACTTCAAATCTAGATTGACACTGATAATGTATGCATTGTCCTTGAAACTGATTGGTCCACACCAGAGACGGCTTTCTTTTGAGCCTTGAGCCTCATCTCAATTGGTGCTTGACCAGGGGACGCCAAAAGGCGTACAGCTCAAAGACAATGCACTATCAAAGTAATGAGGGCTTGGGGTAAGCATCTACATCATTAGACCACCTTTGCCAGTCCCAAGATATAATAATGGGGGTTTTTCCCCTTTTTTCTGGCAACAAAACTGAAACCTTTTTACGAGGAATCATGTGTGCATTGACCACAATACTTGTCAAATTTATGACATAAAAGAGATACGATTAAAAAAACTTTAGAATCTTGCGACAATCGATGGGTGTATTGTGAGCATAATTTATGTTAATGACTGCAGAGTAAGACTTTTATTCTGACTACTCAGCATTTTCTCGTGAGATTAACCATTTAAAACACAACAGAGGAATGCAACGCCACATGTTAAAAGAACAGTCGACAGAAGCAGGTATTATGGAACTCGATTTGAGATCCCTTGAAATGATCTCGTCCACACGAGGGAGCAGCACTTTGCCACCTTTCCCTGCTCCAGGGTAATGCTTGTACGGGACGATCAAACCAATATTTTTAAAAACTCAGATGTTGAATTTTGCTAAATTAATTACAAAACCACATTTTAAATGTTGTATTTGTGCCGCCATTAGTGACTAGGCTGAAACCATCAACTATTTACTCTCGAGAATCCAATGTAATATTTTCAGCCACCCGATAACCTTTTGTGTTTGTTTCACCTTACTAAACCAACAGTACCTTAAATTCGCTGCCATTTTCATTTAGGCTGTTGACAGCACTTCAGGCATATTACAAATCTTGATTAAGCTATATTAGTAATGGCTGGAATATTCCAAAATGTTTCGAGCTCGAGCAACTATCCTCTCTAAGTTAAATCAATTATATGGCGATACTGCATTAGCGGTGGTGCACAAGCACAAATAACAAAAACGCAACACATTAATCAATAACACTACCCTAAAATAATACTATATACATTTATACCCGTCTAAAGAGTTGATATTTCTGGCAATGTCCTTTCTTCATAGCAGAGAGATCTCTTGCCTCAGACAGTATATGTTTTTTTACTTTTAGGGCAGTGCTGTCAGAGCCATCATAAATTACATATAGTACGGGTTTTTCTGCATTGTATATACACAGCACAAATGCCTGAATAAACTAGTGTAGTTTGCCAACACAAAAAAACAGCATTAGTCATGTAATCTGCAGCAGCTCGCCCCAAGCCCCAATTCTCCCACAAACCCCTGTACGTATGATGTAGATGTCAGTGTCTACACACTTTCCCGAAGCACGTTTACATTTGATAATGTGCACAACACACACATGCACTGTCTGATGTATGTGAGAAAGTCTCAACAATAATGTCGGGAATTTTTTTGTTACGTCTTTGCAATCCCTATATGCTCTTCAATGGTTTTGCAGCACCAATTAAATCTGCTGGCCCTCGGGTTGTAAGTATGCCAGCCATAAGCCTGTGCCAGTATATTTATGTCACTGGCAGCTGGGGGTGTGTTTTTGGAGGCTACAAATACAGGAAAATTACACTTTGTCCTGAGAGTGTTTTATCACTGTCAAGCTCAATGTTAAGGGTCATTACCATCCACAGCAAATATTTTATCGGTAACTACATTGATACAGGGGGTTACTTTTTAATCAGCGGGATAACAATTAACATTTTGTAGTCATGACAAAAACATTTATTTGATTAATATTTGACAATTGCTTGCACTTGCTCAAGTGATGAAGAAAGTTTACACGAATAAGGTGTTACTCAGATACAGCAACCCTTTGATGATTACACATTAAATATATCCTCGGTGTGAGCATTATAAAGTGCATAATTACAATTCAGTGAGAAATGAGGTCTGAAACAAATGGCATCACCCAGACAAATACAATAACTGGATAGATTAATTATGCCTTGATTATTACTGTACTCGTCTTTAGGCTTCATTAAACATATTTGTCATCCATATCCAAGGCCTCTTACATTACACCTTCCATTTAGAAACCAAACAAACACATGAAATTAACTAAAGCTGTTTGCTTAACAAGATTTAACCGTTGCTCTGAGTGAGTATTAAATATCATTTGTACTAATTTCACATCGGGTGTCTTATCGCCCTTCCCTGTCATTTTGTACATGCGAGTGTGTGCGCTCTTACACCATTTGATATTTGCAATGTACCTAAAATGCCCGTAAATGTGTTTGTTCATTGTGACAGGATTAGAGTAGACAGCCCACTACCGTTGCACTCGGTGGAAGAAGCGATGGCTTTCTTGCGAGGGGATCTGCCCAGCTGTGCTGCCGACCTTTGCAATGCCTCTGTCCTTGCACTGCTCACGGTCAACATGCCTGCTGGTGAGCCATGCCTAGAGCACTTGATTTATTACAACCTCAGGCCAACGTAACAACTTAAAAGCATTTTCTATGCAGAGTAACTGTTTGTTTTTGGAGTTCCTTCAAATATTTGTTCAGTGACTCAATTTGGAGTTTTCACCTATTGAAGCTTCTAAAACACAACCATCTGATCCTGTAGCTGCAGGTTTGGGTTTCATCTTCTAGATTTAAATAAATTTAATTCTTTTTAGTATTTTTGATTGTGGGTGGCTTTGAGGTTATTTTTCCTGTTCACACAATCAATGTCCCCAGTAATGTTCTAAGATAACATGAAATGCGAACAGGGTGTGCTAACTCGTATAAGGTAAGTGGTCTAATGTCACTGCAAAAATAGGCCATTGTATGCTGGTGTCTCGTCAACATTTCAAACAATTCCAGAATCTAAAAGAGTTCCCAACTCACAATCAAATGCTTGTGAATTACAATCACGGTTGGGGAGCTGCTCAGCCTATTATCCCTTTGTGATCCATAAAATGAGCATCACAAGAAACACATCACACCGCAGTGGTGGTCCACTAGAGAAGGCTGGCTCCTGCCATTGAAATATGGAATGTTTCACTGCTAACATAGGATTACCAAAGTAAATGACTACTGCCCAAAGCCTAAATTTCGTTTTAAAGCTTTCGTGACTGCAGGGATTTCATATTCTTGGTTCTTTCGGTAAAGTCACGTAGAAGGGAAATAATAAAATAATAAAAAATTCACTTTTTCTTTTTTGCCCAAAGCCTGTTTAAGCCTAGGTCACTTTCACTCGACTAAATACTTTATATGGGGGTTAGCTGTAGTGCAGTGGTTCACACACAGTACTATGGACCCAGTGACCCGAATAAAATCAGATCATCAATACATTTGGTATTCGCGTCGTTATAGCACTAGGCTATTACGGAGGTACTCTATTTCACAGATGATTACAGTCTGCAGTAGTTTCACAGCAGGAGATAATGTTGCTACGTGGCTTTACCCAATTAGGTATTTTTGCAAGTAATCTCCAAATTTTGCTCATTTGGACCATGAAGCTGGCAGACATGGACTACTTCACTTCATTAACGTCCCCGGTTCTTTAATGTCCACTGCTAAGCAGATGGCGGGTATTTTTCATTAATACACTCGCCATATTAACCAGCACCAGAACCCAAAACCACATAGCCATGTGCCATGTCACCACCGCCTTGAATTTGATTGCCCGACATGGCTAATGTACGATATCTGAACAGTTCTTGGTTCTCCCACAATTTACTAAACCTGCACTGGCCTGCCTGGTAAAAATACAGTCAAACAACCCCCATGACTGGCACACCTTGGGGAGGCCTCCTCCAGTTGTGGATTGAAAAAGTACTGTAAATAAAAAGCTTTATAGGGTTAAATGCCCCTGCTTTGATATGAGAGGAAATCACACTGATCCAAACTGCTGCGAATCAATACACGGTGAATGATGATGTATTGAAAAAGTGCTTTTTTATTTAATGTTGCAGAGATCACAGCCTTTGTTGAAGCCAGTAAGGCCTTGAGAGGAGAAGTTCTGATGGGATTGTGCATCACCGATCGTGTGGCCTTGGATGTGTAAGTCACACCTGCCACCTTGGCTCAGTTCCATTCTGGAGGTGAAATCAGTTTAAACTCGCGTGGCTGGCAGTGGATGGCCTTATAAACACCATTAGTGATCTAAAAAGCCACATAATGAAAGTGGTCAAAGTAGTGCATACAGTGAAGTAATGTTTTGTTATGTTTGCGTGGACATTTCCCAGTTCGTATATATTTTTTTCACCGTTTTTTATTCTGCTCCAAATTTAAACATCAGAATTCTAAAAAACGAGTGTTGTGTCTGTGTTGTATAATGGTGTGATGGCTTTCCTTTTTTGTCAATGTTTTTACTTGTTAGGTCCACTCAACTTGGCAGTTCCATTCCTTCCATAATTGTCTTCAAACGAGGGGAGCCTTCTTTAAAGACAGTTGTGTTCCCACGGCCGATCAGCGCAGATGTCACTGTGAAAACTATCCGCGACTCCAGCCAGCCTGCATTTGTATGCCGCTCTTGTAAATTACGCAGATTCAAACATACATATCAATAATGAGCCTCCCATATTATTTCCCACCCTATCTTGCAATCCCTTCTATTTGAAAGTATTATTTACACACCAGTATCTTGGCATTCCAAACATTTGGTTTCGTTTAAAAATGCCTCCTTTATCTTTAATATCAATGCGGATGTGTATTTTGTACTGGAAATGTACTACGGAGCAGTGTTACATAACATGTTTCCATGCGTTGGGGGTGGTAGTATCGTGGTGTGCGTGCCTTGTTCTATGTTCCCAGTGGTACAGGTCTAATTTCCTGCTGTCCACACCTTTGGCAGTGGATATATGGAAATGCCCTGAACCTACCCAAGGTTTACCCAGCTTAAAGTAAATTGGTGTGGTGTGTCAACATCAACATCATGAAAATGGTGGTAGCATGCATGAGGCTGGCCACATCCTCCCACAGTATGCCTTACCATTATTCCATACCACTATATGCAGTTGACAATAACCGATTAAATAATTATTGCCAACAGCACTCACGTTGACAGTATTGAAATTTACCTATGTACTATTTTACATCTTTATATATGTACATTAGTTTTTTTTTCCTTTTTGAGACTGAACAGTGCATGTAATGAGTTTTCAAATTTAAATGCATTTTCGTTTATGAACTCATGTTTCAAGTTTGCGCAAACGTTTGTGTCACGATATCTCTAAAACTGTTATTCGTTTTAATTATATGAAATGCACTGTTTGCTTTAAACTTGAATTGACAAAACTGTCCAATTTAAATGTTCATTTTATCATTCACATGAGTATAATTTTCTCACCAGTAATGTTTTTTTCATGTCAACGTTCAGCATCATCTTGCCCGTTTTCATGTAGGTTCCAATGGCATTTTGTAGAATATTTTCACGATGCACATTCTTATCAATTGTATAGCACCTTGTTTGGCCACCAAAAGTAATTTGTGTTTGTCATGCATTTACATATCAACATGCAAATTTACAATTGAAAGTGTCAGTTGTGTCCTGTACGCTTCATTGCAATGTGCAAACAGCTAAATGCCCGTTTCAGAAAAAAAAAACACCCAACGAGTTTGGTTCAGTTACGCACCACTAACAACTCAGCATGCCTCGTGGCTCGTGGTGGTTCCGCTGATTAGGAGAACAAAGTGAAGTCGCTGTATTAAAGGTAATTGTCTTACAGATATCATCTCTGACTTTGTTTTTAACCGCCACGCTAATGTATTCATAAATAGAATGAGCACATGTCACAAGGAAAACGCCCATAATAAAAAAATAACTTGAAACCAAATCAAGTCACCTATATTTGTATCTTCCATACAACATTTATTAGCCATATTTCATTATTTAAGAAAACAAACTAGAGCTCATGTTACCCCACTTTAGTACCATGAACGTTTACTCATCATCACCCTTTTACCATGATTAATCCACTGCTGGATGAAGATCTTCCCTTTCTGTCGCTGTCCCACGTGATACCACAGCTTTTAAAATTGAAGGATGAGATCGTCCCTCAATTTTCACGTCTGTTGTCCTCTCGGGAGCGTTTTCCACTTTGGCACGTACAAACGCGTTACATTTTAACTCGCGACATTTAACGCTTGTCCTGCAGGCAGAGCTGAGCGTGTCGCTGCTACCGGAGCTGCTGCGTGTCGGCCGGCCTCTCTTAATCCTGTTTGTTGGAGGCCGCAATGGAGCCTCCGTGTCAGCCATGCGCACACTGGAAGCCGCAGCTCGAAGCGGGGCTCTGGCTTACAGCACGGCTTGCTGGATGGACATGTAATGCCTACACACATCTGGCCCATTGCACAATCATTCCACGCTCCCGTCAACCTGACCAATCTTGAGCCGAGAAGATGGTTTTTTTTTTTGTCACAGTTACTGAGCATAGACCTTGCGGTCAGCAAAAAACACTTTCACTATTATAGGTGTACATAGACAACAGTTCATACGTTTCTTGAATTGAACAAGCTTCGATTAATTTGGTAATCGAGATGATGGAAGGGGAGATCCAAAGTCCAGCAGTGTGAGGGAAGATGCATAAAGAGAAGTGTAGAGTGAATCGTTTTTGACAAAACCACGTTGTTTAACTTGGATTTTTTTCTTCTAATTTTAGTTGCATTTCCCAGGACAATTGAGGCATTTCAGCAATATAATGAACACGTTACCGGACATGTTACCGGAAGCGTGTCATCGCCTTTAGGAAAATAGGGCTACACTGCATGCATCTGGCACACTCGTGAGCATTCCTAAACATTGTGCACAGCTACTTGGAAAATAAATTGTGGAATCATCTTGTTGCAGGTTTGAATAGAGTGATTCTATTCAGGATATCCACCAGTGTCTCATTTAATTAGCCTCCTATAAAGTCAACTTCTAAGGCTTGGAACTTACTTCCCAGTGAACTGCATGCTGGGAAAAATTAAAATCTTTCGAAAACTTGCAAAATGTTATCTTTTAAACCAGACATATATTTAATGTGGTGCGCTACTGGTCAATATTGTAATCGGCACGATATAGGTAACGTTCGTACTTTCGTGCTTGTCTGGGTGGAGCGGTGGCACAGTGATGAGCATTCTGAATTATGAGCCGGGGGAACCTGAGTTTAATTCCTGGCGATGGCTCAAACATGCGTGGAAGTTTAATGTCTCAATCATTCCCTTCATCAACGCACACTGAACAGCATGGTGAAGTATGATCTAAACAACCCTCATGGACGACATGGTGTGGGGAGGCTGTCATCCAGTCGTGTATTGACGAAGGTTTGCACATGATTCTTGTACCTTGTCTGGTCTCCACACATGAGTGGAGTTTGGGGGGGGGCGCACGGGATAGGCAGCCCCCCCTAAACTAGGCACCTTTTATTTTCAGTAGTTTACAATTAAGATTAAATATTAATTATATCCACCCTCGATTCCTAATGTGAGGGACAAAGCGAACCCCTGCCAAACTCTGCCTATGTCTCCACATGTAAAACAAACAACATGCTATGTGCTTGTTATATCTCTTGTATGCAGTGTGGACAACCCAGTGGGCTCGGAGATACTGGAGACATACTTGCCGAGGACAGCCAACCCACCGGAGCTGGTGTTGGTGAACCCACACAGGGGCGCAGGACAGGTCTACGCGTTTCCCAAATCTGACAAGCCACTCACCGCCTCTGCCATCTCTATGTGGCTTTCGAGTATCCGGCTTGGAAACCTACAGCCGACAGGTTTGGACAAAAAATATCAGCGATGTATCGTGAACACCAAGTGTTGTCTCGAGTGGAATGTTGTCATTGTCTGAAAAGTCAGCTGTCGTCTTAGGGTCGTTCTTGGTATGGATCTGAAGGAGCACCATGATGTTATCTGAGAACCTAATGATACCACTGTGACTATTTGTCTTTCAGGATATTAACGCTGCATGTGTCAGAAGCCTTCACATCGTTTTTTTGTGCCATTCTTATAGCGAAAGGCTATCGCAAAGACGCAGTGTTTCGCAGATGGGTATAGTCTGTCAGTAGGGGGTGATGTTGGGCGCTGCGGTAGAAAGATGTTAACTCGCTCGCCAAGTATGCAGAATCTCATGCATGGGTTCGTTCCAGACCCTGACGCCTGTGAGTTTGGAGTTCTTCCTGTGGTCGCATGGATTTTTCTCTGGGTCCTCCGGTTTTTCCATCCACATTTAGATTCATTCTTTTAGCGTATTTGGCTGTTATAATTTCCACTTGATAAGCCGCTTCGCTGAGCTATCATTTAGATCGCTTCTGAAAAAAATGCTGTATAGCTCAGTGGACCTTTTCTGTTAAAATAAAAACAGTTTAGTGTGGTTTTACCTAATTAAGTCATTGAGTAATTTTTCACGTGGCTAATTTGGACGGTGATGCTGGTACACATCACGGGATCTTAAATGTCCACTGTGAAGCAGTTGGCCCATATTTGTAGTTATTATATCAACAGTATGAACCAAGGTGGCCACTGCTCTAACATCACAAACCCCTGCAACAAGTGTAAAACGTGCAGTGTGAATATACAAATATGAATTGCATGTTTGTGGCTGCAATGAGTAAATAGGTTAATTTAAGCGAGGGGAAAGTTCCACTTAGCACGTGGTAAAACTGTCAGTCATCCTTTTTGACTTCTTAAAATAACTTCAGTCTAAGCTCACACAGCACATGTGCAATACATCCGAGTATATGACTCAGTAATGGGAAAACCATACTCCTTTGTATTTTGCTGCATTTCCGCCAGTAGTCTAGGCATTTCAGGAAACTGAATGCAAAATTAGTGGCCGGGGGAATTATTCTCAAGAGGAATGATGAATATATTTTGCGGTAAAAAAAAGCGAAGGGAAAATAGTACTAATTGCACTGATTCACAGTCAGTAAAATTACCCTCCATGTATCGCAGCAAGCCGTCTGAGTTGTACACCCACATGTTTTCACTTCGTGGTGGAATGAGACACTTTTTTTGAAGGTGCTTTGATTTCTGGACAACACTTTTCTCCCCGCATCGCCACGCATGTGTAGCTCCTTTTCAAACCGCACACGTTTAAAATTCCATTTATGCAGAATGTTACTCACCCGTTTATAGAATCTCTGTCCTTTGCATATATTTTTTTTCCCGCAGCATGGGAGCATGCAAAAGTATAAAGTTATCGTGATCGGGGAATGTTTTACCTCCCTGCCCTTCCCTCATTAAACTAGCGTTTGCGAATCCCTTGTACTGGCACTTTACCAATATGGCCTGAGGTGTTATTGCAAGTACTTGTCCAATATGGCCTGAGGTGTTAAGGACCACTGTTATTACAAGTACTTGTCCAAAAGGCAGAAACTGGTGAAGTGAAACTTACAAAAACTTGAACTATTGCATTGCTATAAAATTTCAACAAAACACTTTATGTTAAGATTCATCCAGTTTATAACTCAAAACAACAAAATCGTAGTTTTGTACTGTAATCCTTCGATTATTGTTTCAAAATCAAAATTGTTATCCTGCTCAAATGAGATTTGAGGCAGCCCACGTCTGTTTATAACCCTAAGCCAGTTGTAAAACTTCTACATTAATATGGCGAGTCCATCCATAAGACGACCACTGTTACCTTCTCGACACGATGCATTGAGTCGACCCCAACCAGGATTTGGACTTGCAACCTTCTGATTACGAGCTGCTCGCCATACTGTTGAGCCACATTGCTGGATATATGATTGTTTATAATGTAATGAGTGGCTTTTTTTATATTAGCGGAAGTCATATTGGACCATTATCTTGATGTTTTCATTTGGCAAGGAAAAGTAGCAGAAGAATGTTCTCGTAGTTTGAGAATAAATAAATAATTACAACATTCTGGCAAGGAGTTGTTTCCACCCATACTCAGTGTGCTGCCTTTAGCACCACCGTCACGAAGGCTGTTTGCACAGCATTTGACAGAATTTCAAAGTAAACAATGAAAGCCTCTTTTATTCCTCAACTGATGGCACATTTCACGACACAATTTATTTTAAAGAGCCTTCTATTTCTCCAATAGATTCTTTGTGGGGGGGAAAAAAAAACACTTCGTTTTCTTGTCACTTTAACTGTAGCCACCTCTGATTTGCGTTAGCGACGGGCTGCACACATTTTGTGTGTGTTATAAATGAAACTTTTTATTATTGGACGAACAAAGCATGACAATTTTTATGCCAAATACTTTTAGATGCTCGGTGCCATGTTCTTACATTGTGTTGCTTCTGTGTGACTACGTGAGTAAGCAGTAACAGCATGTAAAAATGTGAATGAACTAAGGGTTCATTCCATGGAAGACAGGTTGTATTCTGTGGTTCGGTTCACTGACCTGGTCTTCTCAAGTCTCCATAATAAGAGTGGCTGATAAAACGCACTGTGAATGCAGCGATCAACATCCACTCTCCGGTAGCTGTTTATGCGAATAGCCTCTCTGCAGCATCAATTTGATAAACCCTTGGTAGATTACAGTACGATCTAACTCTGAATGGATCTCTGAGCCAAAGTGTATTTGATTTTTGAAAGTGTATTTCTACTGTTGTTCAGGTCTCTTAACAGTGCTTTATGTTTACATACAGCACTTTTCTCGGCTTGTGTTCTCGAAGTTTCGTGTCAATTCATGGAGTGGGTTTCCTTTCATTTTGCATGGCTTCACATATCAACAGTAAACGACATTTTGAGCAGTGCCATTAAAACAAAAACGTTGCTCATTTCCATTAAATTTGTATCCAAATCCGCAGACAGCAGTGGTTTACTATGGACCATTTAGTAAACCACTGTGGCCTGTGCTCCTTCAACGGAGGAGGAGGAGGAGGAACAGAAAAACGACACAAATTATTCTGAAGTCCTCTCGTGACTATTGGACCTCGACCTTGGCATTTAACTCCTGAACATATTGCTTTAGCCAAGAGGAGAATATAATGAATGCTTTCATTTTAATATCAAAACACAGAACATTGAGTTTCATAACAATACGCAGATGTTGAGATTTGGAAAGGCAATAAAACAAACTAAAGTCTTTCAAGCTGTATCTAACAAGACCAAAACATCCGGCAAAGTTATTTTACAAGCACATTGCTCAAATACAGCAATGCAATAAATATGTCATTGTGGCTGGTTGCAGACTGACGTATTTAATTCCACCAACCCACCCTATTTTTTTCCCCAGCTGTTCTGCCAGACAAGACATGGCCTCCGTCACGCCAAAATCTGGACTTTCTGGCCATCATGGATGCCGAATCACCGGGGTTCGCCGAGAACCGTCAGCCGAATGGAGCCGACACCGACGACAGAGATGCAGGAGACAGTGAAGAAGATTACGATGACAACGATGGCACTGAGCATAGCGGGCAGGAGGAGTGGAGTGAAAGGGATTTGAATCACAGGGTGTCGTCTGCTTACAATGGGAGGGAGGAAGGATTCCTACCAGGACGTGCACCCCAAAGCGCTGGCACCGGTCATTTTGCCCCTACTGAGAAAATGCACCAAACCCGGCCACCCCCGCAAAGCCAGCCTCATGACAGACATGTCGAGCTATGAGTGAGAGCGGCACTTTTATTTTCCCCACCCCGCTCTTAATCCAAAAATATATTATACAGCTGCCCGTGTGTTGGTATGTCCTTTCTTATCGTCGTGCATGCTGTGTATCTGACGTTTTTTAATAACGTTGGGTGTTGCCTTGCCCCGCGCTCTTTGCAGGGGAGGGTACTCCATGCCAATCAAAGTGCAGCTGTTTTGTTCCATGTGAAAAAAAGCTCACCTTTTAGCCCATCCGGCTCTGTTAAGCTTCACTTGTCAAAATCAATATCCCACCATTTGTCCAAAAGTATTATCCGATACATCCTTTGACCCAGCTCCCACACACATACACTGGTCATTCGTTACTGTCTCTGGATTGTGGGAGTGCCATTCACCAGATCTTTAGATAGTGTTTCCCCCCCTCGTGTGCGTGAGGTTTTTTTTCTCTCCATGTGCTCTGGTTTCCTCCTACACATATATAAACACTCGTAAATTGGCTTCAAACTCAATTAAAAACTACAAACCCAGTGCTGGACCATCCTGAAAAAGAGTCCTATGACTCAGTGTGGCTTTCCCCTAAAAACAACAATTATCCCAAAATAAGTGCATTAAAGCTTTGTTGTGGACATACTGAAATATGTTGGACATTGTATACATATGAAAGTGATCATGAAACCCTAGAATAATTTTAATGTTTATCAATTAGTTGTGCCATGTTCCAAATTGTTCTCATAACTTCAGGCGAACTAGAGCATATTTAATAGACGTTTCCCAATTGTTCCTATTCGCGAAATGAATCTGGACAACCATAAACGAATGACATCATAAAAACAACTTCATGTATATTATGATTTATGAGCAACTGTTGAACAAAATTAAGATACTATTTCATTTTTATCCCACTGGGTTTCCACACCTTTAGAAAAAAAAACTGGTTTAGTTTATATAAGTTCATCGTCACAGTACGTGGTGTAAAGAATGTGGAACTAAAGAAAAGTATATATTTTTTCATCTTACAAAGTCGGGGTTTTGTAAGTCGGGTTTAATATTTGGCCACTTCCAGGGAAGAATACATCCCAGATATGGGTTTTTTCCTCTCTTCAAAAGAGCATGCTTGTGTACTCTGACCACCATTTGGCGATGATCCTTTATATTTTTGAACGGCAAGCAATGTCATCTTCACCCTATTTCCCACTTGTCATCGCATCAATAAAATACTACTGCCATTCATCGCAGAGGAGAACAGATTTTCATCTCTAGCCTGAGCGGGTGATTACGTACTTGGAACGGTTGTCCCGACAATAGGTCTCTGAATCAACGCTACAAATGTAAATAGCTTATCGCTATCGCACGTCTGGGCTTTGCTGTTTTACAATTTTGGTATTTTACAAATTCGAAATCGTGCGTTACTCGGCAACAAAACGTTACAATTTTATAAACTATACGTTTAGAGAACAATGTGTTTTTTGGGATTTGGATTGTAAATGTTTCAAATCTGTGGAATGTTGTGCTGGTTTTGTCGAACATAGCAATGCAAACATTTAAAGTTGTGATAATCCATGTGGTTTGTGTCCTTCGTTGCAGCACTAATTACACGTGACACTGTTCGCGTGTTTGCACCCCTAAAAGCATTTTAAAAAATCGCGGTTTTATGTGATCCCCTTTTTGGTTGTAACATTTTCTGTATGCCATATGCCTTTTCGGGGCAATGCCCCTTGAGCATTGGAAACATACGTGTATGTAACTGCAGCTACATACTTCAACTAAATAGATTTTTAATTGATTTTCTTGTCCTTTTAGACATTTTTATTCTTGTTTTTAGTTTTTTTCCTGTCGGGAAAAGCCACAGATTTTTGGGACCGGCGAGAGATATACAGTATGTACAGTATACTCTTATACAAGTGCACAACTTTATCTGTGATGAACGCTGCACTTTCCGTCGTTTTCATGCAGGGGGCGCTGTAAACTTACGCGCTCACTGCATGAACGACGGAGGCGCGGGGACAGACGTTCGATTACGTTGGAATCGATCTGCAGACGGCGGTCTTCTGGCACGGCCAGCAGCTCGATGTCGCCTTATCTCGATCCCGCAGTCCCAAACAGGTGAAAGTCCGCATCGAACCGAACCCCCAGCAAGGCCATCTACTTAACGACGAGAGAAAATTCACACGAAATGTCGTTTCCAGTGAAGTCTTCCAGATGCAAAATGATATGAGCTTTTAATGAAGAAATACAATTAGCTAATTCAAAACATAATACAATTCTAAGATGTTTCATTTAAAAACTTCAAAACGGAGCATCGGGTGCTTGCGTGAATGCGTCGTTCGTGTGCAATTTTTTTCGTGACTTTCCTGGGCGAAGGCCATAAATGGTTGTGGGGGGTGCCATAGGCACCCTCGAACAACCCCGAGGATATAATATATTCCTGTAGCGACCATAGGCTCCACCCCCACATTTGGTGTTGAATCTAAGGCTGTCCTATCTAGCTAAGCACATCTTTTATTTTTTTTTACCAAAAAATATTTTTTTGCATCCAGGTCTACACTTTAAAATGTAGGCGATGGCAGTTTATAAGTAAATTAATAATTAAATGACAATGTCCGGTCTTGCCGACGCCAAGTCCAGTAACCACAATAACTATGGCCTCATCGACAGGCCTGTATCGTGTATGTGCACACTATATGTGTGCGTGCATATGGATGGAACTCAAGAGCACGTGTCACAACAGCCTGTATGGCTACACGGGGACACTGTCTTTGTGCTCTGTGTGTATATTATGAATGTAGATTGTGTATATACCGTACGTGTAATGTGTGTAGTATAGTAATGATTGCAGTCATTTTCTAATCCACTGATGGATGAAAGCCTACCATTGTTGTGGCGGGTTGGCAATACTTCAAGATGATCAGTGAGAGTTGGTGCCATGACAAATCAGATATTGCTCTTCCTGTTAGCTGTGGCCAAGAAGTTAAACTCTTGAATGGGTCACTGCAGTTGCTTGTAACACCAGACCATATTTCAAATCAAACAAACTAAAGCAACTGATCGAAGAACACAACAGTCGGATCAATGTCCCAATCTGCGCCGATAGGCTGCCTTGTTTTAAAACACAAACATAGTATATAATTCAGTCATGCAGTGTGTTTCGAATTGTTAGGTTCAGAGTTTGTGGAAAATTAAATGGCAATGAATCAAACAATAGGGAAAAGATGATTGAAGCTTAACATGGTATAATTTCTTGCTTGGCTAACACTGGTATTTTAACATGTAATTGCTATTTGCTTGACTAAGAGTGGTATTTTGACATGTGGCAACTCTTTTTTTGGCCGACACAAGTGTTGTAAGATGTGTGATGCTTGCATGGTTAATACAGTTGTATGTTATATATCCAATTACTGCTTGCGTGTTAGCTATATAGATGAAGTGCCAATGCAATGGTTTTGATATTTTAACTGTCTCGCCAAGTATACCGGAGGTTGTGGGTTCGATCCCAACCCTGACGCCTGTATATTTGGAGTTTGACATGTCTCTCTCCCTGTGGTTCTCCGTGTCCTCCGCTTTTTCCCTCCACATTTAGAAACATGCATTTACATTATTTGGCTGCTATACGTGTCTACGTGATAAGCCAATTCGTTGAGATATCATTTTCGGTCAGGTCTTTTATGGAAAAAGAGTTACAGCGAGGGAAAAAAGAATTTCATCCCCTGCTGATTTTGTACGTTTGCCCACTGACAAATGATCAGTCTATAATTTTAATGGTAGGTTTATTTGAACAGTGAGAGACAGAATAACAACAAAATCCAGAAAAATGCATGTCAAAAATGTTATAAATTGATTTGCATTTTAATGAAGGAAATAAGTACTTGACCCCTCTGCAAAACATGACTTAGTACTTGGTGGCAAACCCTTGTTGGCAATTACAGAGGTCAGACGTTTCTTGTAGTTGACCACCAGGTTTGCACATATCTCAGGAGGGATTTTGTCCCACTCCTCTTTGCAGATCTTCTCCAAGTCATTAAGGGTTCGAGGCTGACGTTTGGCAACTCGAACCTTCAGCTCCCTCCACAGATTTTCTATGGGATTAAGGTCTGGAGACTGGCTAGGCCACTCCAGGACCTTAATGTGCTTCTTCTTGAGCCACTCCTTTGTTGCCTTGGCCGTGTGTTTTGGGTCATTGTCATGCTGGAATACCCATCCACGACCCATTTTCAATGCCCTGGCTGAGGGAAGGAGGTTCTCACCCAAGATTTGACGGTACATGGCCCCGTCCATCGTCCCTTTGATGCGGTGAAGTTGTCCTGTCCCCTTAGCAGAAAAACACCCCCAAAGCATAATGTTTCCACCTCTATGTTTGACGGTGGGGATAGTGTTCTTGGGGTCATAGGCAGCATTCCTCCTCCTCCAAACACGGCGAGTTCAGTTGATGCCAAAGAGCTCCATTTTGGTCTCATCTGACCACAACACTTTCACCCAGTTGTCCTCTGAATCATTCAGATGTTCATTGGGAAACTTCAGACGGGCATGTATATGTGCTTTCTTGAGCAGGGGGACCTTGCGGGCGCTGCAGGATTTCAGTCCTTCAAGGCGTAGTGTGTTACCAATTGTTTTCTTGGTGACTATGGTCCCAGCTGCCTTGAGATCATTGACAAGATCCTCCCGTGTAGTTCTGGGCTGATTCCTCACCGTTCTCATGATCATTGCAACTCCACGAGGTGAGGTCTTGCATGGAGCCCCAGGCCGAGGGAGATTGACAGTTATTTTGTTATTTTGTGTTTCTTCCATTTGCGAATAATCGCACCAACTGTTGTCACCTCACCAAGCTGCTTGGCAATGGTCTTGTAGCCCATTCCAGCCTTGTGTAGGTCTACAATCTTGTCCCTGACATCCTTGGAGAGCTCTTTGGTCTTGGCCATGGTGGAGAGTTTGGAATCTGATTGATTGATTGCTTCTGTGGACAGGTGTCTTTTATACAGGTAACAAGCTGCGATTAGGAGCATACTATTAAAGGGAGTGCTCCTAATTCTAGATTTAAAGCTTTCGTGACTGCAAGGATCCATACTCTTTGGTTCTATTCGGTAAAGTCACGTAGGTAAAAAATAAAACAAAAATCACGACGTTTCGGCCACAACACAAGCGGCCTTCATCAGGTGAAGGGATCAGGCTGTCTCGAGGACAGCGCTGGAGTGAAACACAGCCACGCTCAGACCGCGACCTTTAAGCTGTGTAAGCAACCATTGGAAAGATGTTCTAAATCGAACCAAACATTAAACTAATTTCAATGGTACAGTATATTTTTTCAAGTAGTGGTACCCCAAACTTTCGCAGCTCTTACATTCCCTTTTCACACCATCAATAGGCAAACTCCCCCCCCCCCGCCAACCGGCATGTGCACCCGCATGTACACCACCTCTATGCTAAGTCGGCCAATCAAATGCAAATTGTTATGCTAATTCCTTTGTCAAGGCACCTTGTTTCCTCGCACACAGCTTAAAGGTCGCGGTCTGAGCGTGGCTGTGTTTCACTCCAGCGCTGTCCTCAAGACAACCTGATCCCTTCACCTGATGAAGGCCGCTTGTGTTGTGGCCGAAACGTCGTGATTTTTGTTTTATTTTTTACCTACGTGACTTTACCGAATAGAACCAAAGAGTATAGTGCTCCTAATCTCAGCTCGTTACCTGCATAAAAGACACCTGGCAGCCAGAAATCTTTCTGATTGAGAGGGGGTCAAATACTTATTTTCCTCATTAAAATGCAAATCAATTTATAACATTTTTGACATGCGTTTTTCTGGAATTTTTTTGCTATTCTGTCTCTCACTGTTCAAATAAACCTACCATTAAAATTATAGACTGATCATTTCTTTGTCAGTGGGCAAACGTACAAAATCAGCAGGGGATCAAATACTTTTTTCCCCTCATTGTATATGGCTCAGTGGGCCTTACCTGGTAAAATAAAAAAAAGTTTAGTTTCTAGAATGCATGCCTTTGCGTAGGGACATTACTAAGCGGATCTGAGTGAACTTCTTAAAAAAATGCCGATGCCCCCTCAATTCCCACGGATTCTTAACTTTAATCAGTCATCTTAAGGATAATTCTGTATACAGAAAGCCAAATCCCCAATTGCATCGTAATTGTGGGAAATATTTAAAGGTTTGTTTTACTCAGTTGACTTGTTTCAATTATCTGAGGCTTCATCATCACAGATGCATTTAACTGTCACCTTGTGAAAACATCCCAATATTTATGGCAACACCCAGATTCTGAATTATAACAGGTCCTATGGAGGGAGAAACAAGACTCATAGGGAGGGCACAGCAGTCAGAATTATTTTACTATAATTTCGTTTAACATTTTCGTTGGAAAAACACAAATGGAAAACTGGATGAATGATAAAAAAGGGCTTGGCTTACAACCCATGCTGCTGGTAAACCTACAGATTGCAATCTGTTGTTGGGTCATGCCCAAAACATTGTTTTAAAATAACTGAACCCACCCACAGACATTTCCACCATACGTTTTAAATAGCAGCAGATGGGCATTATTTAAACAAAAAAAATTCATATGATTTTTTAGTATGTATAAAATGATACTCATTAGTTTTTTCGGTAAAGTCACGGTAAAGTCACGGATGTAGAAAATTCTATTATTTTAATAAAACCAAAGAGTATAGTCATTTATGCAGTCACGAAATCTTAAATTCTATATTATGAATAAAATGATTTGAAAATATAATTGTTACAAAAGCAACTGCTAGTTTTATCTGTTAACAGAGTACTTGATAAAAAATAATAGTTTGCGAAAATATTACATTGTCTACCCCGCTAGATGCAACGTAAATTGGGGGAAATTACCATTTTTAAAGTGT